GGTGGCTTTTGAGGGGTTGGGTCTGAATAAAATGTTGGATCATGATTGCCAATTGATTTTGAATGGGTTTCGATTTATTTCAATTGGATTCAATTTATTTGCAACTGATTTCAATCCATTTTCAATTGATTTCAATTGATGACATGATGATGACAAGACTGCCCCTGGACATTCGCTATGTCACATAGCACAATGGAATAGGACAAGAGTATATAGCACTAAGGTGAAAATCTACCCGTCGTGCAACTGTCACAAAGCGTTTATCAGCCTCCAGCTGCAATCCCGCCCAGGAGCGTCGCAGCATCACTCATGTTTTGCTGCGTGCAGCTGTGTCAATGCGTTTTGTCACAGGCGGCTGCAAGCCCGCATAGCAGTTTGGCGCACCTGGCAAGGGGGATTGCAGCTCGAGGTTGCTAAACGCATCGTAACAGTTGCGCGACAGGTTGTTTTCACCAAAGTGCTACTCTTCTTGTTCTTTCCAGAATTGCAGCTGGACATTGCAAAACGCACCGTGCTGGCTGCGCACGGAGAGAAGAATGGGGTTGCAGAATCTGCAGAAGAGGTAGCTGGAAGGAAGCTCAGAGCAGAAGTAGCCCAGAAAAGTGGCTGCCCAGAGAAGAGAAGTAGCTGAGAGAAGAAGTGCCTCAGCGAAGAGGTCGAACTGTGAAGAAGCAGCTCAATAAAGAAAAGAAGCCCTTCATCCATCCATCCATCCAGCCAGCCAGCCAGCCATCCATCCATCCATCCATCCACCCACTCCATCATTCGTTCATTCGTTCATTCGCTCATTGATTGATCCGTTGGTTCACTGATTCAGTGGTTCAATGGTTCATTGCTTCAGTGATTCATTGCTTCATTGAATCAGTGGTTGACTCGTTGATTCCTTGATTCATTGGTTGGCCGATTCACTGGTTCATTGCTTCATTGATTGGCTGCTTCACTGATTCATTGCTTCATTGATTGGCTGGTTCAGTGACTCCTTGATTCATTGAGTCGTCGTTTTATTGGTTTATTGGTCCATTGATTCATTGATTCGTTCAAGCGTAGTGATTTCTTGTTTCATTGGGTTCCTGATTCATTGATTCTTTACTTCGTTCCTTCATCGACTCACTGAAACATCGTTTCATTGGTTTATTGATCCATCGATGCATTGATTCACGCAGTCATGTGCGTGGATTCTTTCATGTCATTTCATTGCATGGCATCACAACCCAAATTTGCGCAATTATTGATGCACCTCAAAATTTCGAGGCTTACTTCATTGCTTCTGCATCACAAAATCTGTCCTATAGGCCATGGATTTCAGATATAGCCAGTCTTAGCTCTCTGAAAATTCCGCCCCTGGCGAGAGCCGGGCACCTGGTATTTAGGGCTTCCGTCGTAAGAACTCTATATCATTTTCACATGAGTAATTATGTTCCTCTACGCTCGCGGGCCATCCGTCGTCTAGTTTTTTCAGTTATGGAAGCCATCTTGAGCCAAAGTTTTTAGGAAGCCACCTAGCTAACCTGTTTTAGGTCTTGGGTTGGGAAACGTACTGTAGCGGCTGCTTCTCCTTTGGTGACACCCAAAGTTGTTGCACACGAATGTTCAGATGCAGGTAGAAACAGCCAGTCTAAAGGTTTAGACTTTGAGCGGGAGGCATGGCGGATGCAATGATGGAACCTTTGCCGAGGCTCCATCCAGACAAGGGCGGGTCTGCAAGTGCCTTCCAGGCAGCGCCGTGTTTGAGCGTCGCCCGCATGAATGCCGTGTTGCCAGCGTGAATGCAATGTCCCATTGCAAGGCTTTGCAAACTGCAGCTGAATTTCTGCTTGAAGTCGCAGCCTCAGTTGCCTGGGAGCCATGTTGACGATAAGGCTGCCGTCCGTGCTGCCGACCCCGGGACCGTTAGCCTACCGTTGCTTTTTGGAGTCGCCAGCAGACAGCAGACAAAGCAGTGGCGGCGATAGAGAAGCGGAAGGGCTAAACCTTAATGCTCTTGAAAGATGAAGCGGGGCTACCCATTGAAGCTGGCGGTGCCTAACGTCGCTGTCCGGAGTCCCACAAGCAAGCAGCCAAAGCAAACGCCAGGGACGGCACTAGACTTAGAGAAGCGGAAGCCCAGCAGGCTAAACCCCCATGCTCCTGAAGGACGAATCGACGCTGCCCATCGAAGCTGGCGCTACCTAATTATAGCAGCTGTGCATTTTGGAGCCCCCCGTCGGATATGGACCGCGAGTTAAAAGAGCACACGCACTGTCAAAATGTGACTTGGAGATTGTACTTTGTCCAAAGAGATGCCACTAGTATTGCATGGCTTTACATGATACTGCTGAACAGATGGGTAGCAAACAGGGACAAACTGTGACTGTAAAAGTCTCTGTGTGTGAAAGTGTTTGTGTGTAAAAGCGTCTGTGTGTAAAAGTGTCCGTATGTAAAGGCGTCTGTGTGTAAAAGCTTCTGTGTGTAAAAGTGTCTGTGTGAAAAGCGTCTGTGTGTAAAAGTGCTTGTGTGTAAAAGCTTCTGTGTGTAAAAGTTTCTGTGTGCAAAAGCGTCTGTGTGTAAAAGGTTCTGTGTCTGAAAAACTTTACGAAGGATACGATGCAAACTATTGTTTTGTACTGTCTTGTACTTGTAAAATATTGTTTTGATACTTCTCTTCCCGTCTGCCTAAAATAGATGTTTAATATATTGTCTTGTAATATAGTGTCTCAATACTAACAACAGAAGACCCTGCTCCTCTACGCTCTCGGGCCATCCGTCGTCTAGTTTTTGTTTTGGGTTCAAGTCACTTCTGTTTGAAGATGCTGGGACGGAGAGGGGCAGGGGGGGGTAGGGACTATTTCCGACAGAAGCAAGACGGTGGGGGGGTGGGGACTCTTTCCGAGAGATTTTTTTTGCCACGACTCGTTTTGCCCTGCAAGACCCGGTTTTTGGCTTCATGTAGCCAAAAACCAGGTTTTGCCACCTAGGCGGACATATATACTGTAGCAGGTTTTCGGTGATTTGCCAATGAATCTCAGCTAGGTTGCTCCAGAGTACCCAGTTTGCTACGTTTTGCGGTGTTTTTTCCATGTATCTTGCATTTTCTATTTTTGCGCATTTTCTCATCAACTAATGTGCACACCACGCAAGGCAGAACATTTGCACATTTAGCAAAATTATCCGCAAACCTCCAAAAAGGTATATGCAGTCAAGAGATCTACTGTCTGCAATACTGACGTTTGAGCATGCTGAGCAAAGTTCAACAATACATTTACATTAGCTTTGGCCAAGGAACAGCCCCATGACAGATGCATGGTTGCGTGCAAAGTGAAAAATATGATTCCAAGATGACATGTACTCATTGGATGGTTCCAATGCGCATAAGTGAGTGTGATTGAAAATCAAAAGGCGGGGAGGTTGTCCAAACGAAAGCAACAACCGAATGGGTGGGGTGCGAAGTAGAGCTGTTCCAATGTAGAATGAGGGCAGCATGGTTTACCCATTCATAAGGTTTAGATTGTTTTAGCGCAGTCGCGCGGTCCAAACCATACATGTTTTGCTACAAACAAAAGTATTCATACAATGCCTCTTCCAGTTCGCAGTAAGCCAGTAAGGCGTAGCGTAAGGTAAGCATTTGTCCGAAAAACAATTTGACGCGAGCATGCACATGGCCAAGTTCAGCACATCAAAAAAGGTCGAACATGAAAGAAAAACAATCCAAAGTGCGCTTATGCTGAGTTTCTTGCAAGGCACGTTGGTTTGTAATATGGCATGTTTCCTATGAAGCCACTGGTATGCACGTATGTACCCCATGTACAAGATGTTGCATTCTGCATTCAAATGTGCGAGTAAGGGTCAACATGCGTGCGCTTTGCCCTGTTTGTAACATGACCTTCTCGCAAGGAAATGTTATTATGCTACACGCGGTCATAAACCAAATCGAAAGCTAGCAGTCGGCGCTCATGACGGCCACAACTTGAACCATGTCACAAGACTTGTGCACCATAGGTTGTGCTTAATGATGTGTTTCATTGTGTGACAAACGCATGTGATAATATGATTTAGTTTTGGCCTTTCTTGAACTCCCATGTCGTTGTTCTAAATTATTTATCAAATTCACCGTGTTACATGGAATTATATGGTTTGGCCTGGTCTTCCAAAAGGTCAAAAACCAGGTTGTTCATGCTAGAAGTTCAAAATCATCTTTTTGGGAATATCAAAAATTTAGGCTTGCAGCCTTTAAAACCAGGTTCTGCACAAAAAACCTTCTTTTTTGCACCTAAGCAAAGCCCCAGGCACATTCTATTTTTTTTGGTTTGTGCACCCAGCATTGCATGAGAGCACAGCCACCAAGACTGAAGAGGCCCAGTTTGTGGGGGTATTTTGCATGCAGATAAAGTGCAAGATTTGTTGTGGGAAGTGGTTCATGAGCAACTCTGTATGCGACCAGCATGCGATTTTTTGTAGACGGAGCCCGATCACATTTGACTTCAAAGAGGAAGCCACGTACCGAGAGCAAGATTTGTCACTAGCAACCATGAGTTTGCATTGTTGACAAAACAGTTTATCCACCACACAGGAAGTTGAGACTGCGGGTCAATGAACCAAAAGTTGCTGTAGCTGATTTGCGTCTCAGTGGCGCGAAAAAAAAAAACACAGAGTTTTAAAGTTCGGTTTGGTAGCCGTTTCAATAGTTGCTATGCACTTGACAGAGACCCTATTGATGTGGGCTTTCAAAGATCGTCATGATTGAAGGGCTCTTGAACCCAATGCAACTATTCTCACCATGAGATCAGTCAGCTTTTCTTTTCTGCGTTGACGTCATTTCTCTCAGCCATTTCAGCCGGATGGTGTGGCAGAGCCAAAGAGGACCTCATCATGTCAGGTGTTGTTCTCTTCAATGTCGGTTCATTTTGCTTGAGAACTGCCAGAAACCCCGATGTAACGCACCAATACTTCCAGAGAAACTTGTGACAATGCAAACCATCCAAGTGAATCAAGCGAGTACCAGTTACCAGCTTCTTCCCTGATGCCCCGGCCATGCTCTGTGCGCAATGGCGGAAGAATCTTGTCACGGATTTGCAAAGTACTGGGAAACGTTTCTTTGATCTAAAAAGGTTTGACATGGATTTACAAAAAAATGATTCAAGATTGCAGAGCCGGGGCGTGTTTCACTTGGCTCGCAACTTCGCATGTGACCCAGGCGACTGAAACATGTGGCTGCGTTGCACTTGCGGCAGATCCCATGTTTCCATGCAGTGGGGAAACCCAAGCTCAATCGAGCTGAGCAAAGTCATTGGGTTTGGATTTAGGATTTGTTTGATTGGTGTTCATGCGAACGATCGTTTTTTTTTTTCCCATTTTGTTAAACAAATTGTTGCGCAGTCTAAAATAGTGTACCAACCTCATGCTTGGTTGATGCTTCGTTGATGGCCCTGAGAAGAGACAGAAAAGCTGGGGTAAATCCCCAATTTTGGGCAAACCCATTGGTTTTCAGCGTTTTTGGGAAAACCACAATAGATTGTACCATTTTTTATATAACATATGTACATGTACAATATTTATATATGTATACAGTATATACATACTGTATTTTTAGCAAGATGAATTGCATTTTCTGCTGATATACACCCCGTATCATTTGGTGTGAATGGCTCATCAAACGTCAATGGCCGAGGTGATACAGTCTTGCCGCTGCTTCAAGCGGAGCAGATATCGTAACTTGGGACAGGAAGAGGATGACACCGCGGAAGTGGAGGACAAGAGTCAAAACGTGAACGTCATGCTTGGGAATGTGGAAGACTCAGGGGAGTGTGCCACCGAAATTTGTTTTCTTGGTGACGAGATCCATATCTTTCTTGTTTTGTTTTCGTGATAAATTCAACAACTATGAAACCTTCAGAGATGAAATGGTCCCTCAGAGGAGTCGTTTGTTGGCCTTTTTCAGGTGCTAATGAAGATCTCTTTAGCCTGTTGTCGCCTCAGTGACAGTGCCTGGCTCCCAGTCTTCCAGTTTCCCGGTGTGCAGAGGTATGATTGGCGTCACGGTGCTTTGCTTGGCCCTTGGATGCCCTTGGTATTCGGAGCAAGAGCTGTTCAGAGTTTCTCCGAATTTGATCACCAACTCCATCATCCCGGCCCATAATTTGATTAAGAGCTTTGAGCAGTTCGGAAGTTGATTCATGGAGTTTTTGCACTCAAAAGGATGGTACGCCCCATTCCAGGTGAGATTGAGGGCAAATAGGTCATGGGGCAAATATGTGGGTTTGGCAAATCTCAACACTTTGCTACTAGTACAACTCTGTGATTGTAGTCCAAGTTGTCGAATATGTTTGGCTTGAAATCACCAACTGTTTCTCCATCCATTGTTTTTTTATGGAAGATCCCAATTTTATCCAAAAATGGGGAACCCATCGAAGCCACTCCAACCAGTCCAACCTGAGGCTTGGTTCGCACGCAGGGATTCACTGAAGAAGAGATGGACAAGATGGCGGTGGGAGACTGAGATCCGGGGTATCTTAAAGGATAAGTAGCTGAAGCGAAATCTTGGGAACAGACTTGGAAGATGCTGAATCTGCTGGCTTTCCCAAAGCATTTCCTCTTGGAGGGCGGTTTATGGCATTTTTCAGAGCAAATTTTGGACTTCCGGTAGAGGAGCAATGCAACTGCTTGTACTTTGAATATCCCATTTGAGTATGGATCGAACTCATATAAACTCGGCGGCGCTGGATAGTTTGAGACCAAACGTTGCCAATGTTCTGGGTCAGATTTGATCCAATCCTATCTCCCTGCTACATGCTTGGTTTCATCCCCAATTTCTCAGTCCAAAAATCACCCTTTTTTGTTGGTGCTAGACCCGGCATCCCCACTCTATCCCCACATACCGACGGACACAGTTCGGCACCGTGGACGAAGAATACGAGTGGCTTCGCTTCAAGGAGGACTCGCCACTGGTTCGAAGCTAAGAAAACCCAGAAACTTTGGCCCGGAAACCTGCATTAAACACCCTGACCAAGAGAATAACATGGGAATAAACGGAATAATTAAACGGAATAATTAAACATCATTTTATTTGGAATACAGTGGGGATATTACTAGAGATATTACATGATATTCCCATTAATGAGCCATGTTTCCTACCAAAAACACCCAGCATCAGCTGCCCAGCTGCCCAGCATCAGCCAGCATCAGCCAGCATGAGGTCCTTTATTTGGGCACCGTGGAGCTGTTGATTTGTGGATCTTGTGCTGTAACTGCAGCAGCCATGTATCAGCGCAACAGCTACCAGATGCTTGGAGCTGATTGCTGGAATCAAGTTGAATCCATCCGGTTAGTCCAACTGGAAAAAACTATATGAAAAACTATAACATTGGTAAATGGAGAAGATTCTACTGGAAATTGAAATATGGTTTTCATCATTTTTCACATTTTTTTCGCATCAGCAAATCCAAGGATGGAACACCCTGAGAATGCGCCGGAGAAGCGATATGTGAAGGCCGGCATCACCGTGATGCAGCGTGAGACTTTTGCTGTGTTGGACTTGACATGTTTTGATGAACCGGTTTTCATACCAATAAAAAAAGCAAGTAAAGGGGTTGTGCGCACAATGGCCGTGCTACCCCCGGAACCAAGCTTTTGAATCTTGATATAGTTCCGAGTCTACTATGCAATTGCTGAGAACGTTGAGTCTCCACAATTTCTATGTGGAAATTCTGCTTTATGTATGACGTGACAATAGATTCTGGCTTCACTCAGCAATTCCTTCTCCACATTGCCAGAAATGGTATGATTGGTATCGTTTTGTACAGGTGGAAGTCTCCAAAGATGACGGAAGTCTTTTCGGCTTGGGATTTCGACCCAGCCACTTGGCCATCGAGGTGGTCATCTGCGATGAGACCTGGGTGATGGGCGGATGTCCAATGTCAGAAAACCTGTTGAAAACCTATAGAAATCTTGTAAAAACCATAGAAAACCTATGGAAACATAGAAAACCTATATAGAAAATTCAGAAAAAACCATCCGAAAACTGATCCAAGACAGAGAAAGAACATGGGATGTTGAAGCATGTCCTGAGGTACAGACGGCCTGGAATGCCTCGTGGTGGAGGTGTGAGCAAGGGCGTGGTTACAAACAACTGGCATGATAGGAGGATAATGCGATCATAATTGGACAAATTGGGATACTAATCATGATCACATGATCAGATGATTAAATGGAAATTGGATGATTAGTATCTCAATTTAAATCCAAATTCCATTTTAATCATCTGCAGCCATGGATGATACTAACATATTAAATGATCCCATAATAATTTAATCATTAATTGGATCCCATAATATCCCATATTCCATAGTAAATGGGATGATTTTTCATGGAATGATTTTCAACATTTCCCAGATTTCACCATCCAAAATGGTGATGACTTCGGCGATGACTTCGCAGATTTCACCATTTCGACCCCAGGACATCCGGCGAAATTCAGCGCTACACCGCTGGAACGCCAAAGCCTTGGAACCATCTCCAGAGGAGAAAAGTGGTGTGATCTGCCGGTGTTCAGTTCGATGGAACGATGGCAGTTCATGGCAGTTCATGGTCGTTATCAGATGATACCAGATGATGATCTTAAGGTTTCTTGTTTTATTTTGACATGATATTCTTTTTTATAAAACACCAATATACCTTAAGAATAAATCTTGGTATAATACTTCTTTTTTCATGGTATTTTTACATGATAATCTTGTTTCTATTCTATATAATTATTGCACATAGAAAAAAGGGAACAGATGTTGGAGTGCTGTGTACACATGGACGTCGCAGCTGCCAGGAGATTGTGGAAGAGGCCCTAGGGGATGGTACAGACAGTCCCCAAGGCGGGCGGCAGGGCATGGTGAGATGGTGAGATGAGGAGATCCAACATCTCAGAGATCAAATATCCAGTGGTATCCCATTATCCCAGCATCCTTTAAAGTATATCCACTGGACAGAATTTATAGAAATGATCTCAGTATATTTCTGTTAAATTAGAAGTATATCTCAGTATTATCCCAATATCCACTGGTATAGTATCCCAGGAATTATATTGGGATTATATGTATATATAACTGATATATAGTATAGTATCCCAATATATATCCCAATATATACTGATATAGTATTATCCACTGTTAATTCGTTTGATTCCCTGTCTCAGTCCAGATCCATAGTCCTCAAGTGTGGCTCAGGCTCTGCTCCGCGCAAGCCGCAGGCGCGCTTTTCAGATTCATCAACAAAACCAGCTATCAAATGACACCAATCATGTAGAAATGGTAGTGACAAATTGACAGTTGTTAGAGTTATGGCCCTTTACCAGTTTTATTAAGTACTTATAACCCCATTTATAGAATGTATAATCCCATTTATAACCAGTTATAACTAATAAATAGCCATAACTGTAGACAAGTTGAAATTTCATACCTTGTGGCAATTGCAGATTCTTATCAGTATAGTACACTCTAGTCATAAATGAGAAGATCAGCAGGCCTAAAGGGCAGAGAATCCCCATGCCACTCTCGTTGTGTCAACAAGAGGTCATGGTTGGTTCGATGATCGTCGCGGTGAACGACGTCTTCGGAGATGTTGGTTTGATGCAACAGCAGCTCGTTTCCAAAGACCAGGCGAGAACATCCGAATCATGTTTTTTGGGGATGTTCATCCAAAAGATTCCAAAACCACCAAGAAACTGATTAAAATCATTGGTATATATAGTATATATATATATGTTGGTATGGTTAGATTGCTTATAGGGACTTTGCTCGAAGCACTATCACCGTCAACGCCTTTAACGCCTTTGGATCGGTTGCAGGTCACACTTTGGATGCCCTCAGAGTTCCGAGAAGTTCACCCCAGTGACTTTGAAGGCAGTCACTCGGAGAAATCTGACGGCAGCTGGAAAGTTCCAAACGTTTCCAGCTGAAAACACGCAGGCATGGACATTGGCAAAATTCATCGGGTTTACCTGGAAAAAAACCCTCAAATTGAAGCTGGAGAAGGTCAGTTTTTGAAAACATATGTTTAATTTTATAATATTTTAGATATTCATAATATTAATTCTTGTTATTTCTCATGGTTGTTTCAACATCCCAGACATGTCCCCAGTGTCCGAGGTATGTTTGGAGCCCGTGAGGCTGGGCTGCATCCATTGAAGGGAAGATCTGCAAGAAGCCCTCGTAGTTCATGGGAAAAGCCATGGGAAAAGCCACAGAAACTATGGGAAAAGCCATGGAATCCCATGGAAATGGGAAAATTCATTGGGAAAAATCGATGGAAATGAGCATCCCAATATCCGAATCATTGTGTATTCATATCTATCCCATTATGACTGGAGCTACAAACAGCATATCTCGCTTCGTCAAAGTTGAGTTGTAAGCTGGTTGTGACTGTTTGGAGGCTCATATATCCCCTATCCTGGTAATGAAACATGGTAGTGGAAAACCTCAGAATCATGGAAAATCATATGGTAATCGCTTAAACATAAAATAAGACAACATTCATGTCCTATTTTTTAATATTCATTAGATGGGTTTACGGGACAATTTACAGGAAACCCCCATATTTAATTGTAAAAACCATGGTTTCCTGTGAAAATTTCCCTTAAACCAATCCAATGAAATATATAGGATCTATATCTCCATCTATGAATTGCCACACCTGTGCCCTGTGCGAAATCACCGAGGATCCACCCCTAAGTTGCGATCTCAGAAATCTGCTGGCGATGCACCAGCCATGCCATGTCAGACAGTCATAGAATCGATCCGTTGAGGCGAAGCTGCACAAGGACAGAGCTGAGTTGGAAATCGATGTCTGTGAGAAATGATGAGTCTGTCAGATGATGATGATGGTTGAAAGTTGATGTAAAAAAAGTTCACACTTTCAGAAATCACATTTCTGTGATTTTTAAGTGAATCAGACATAATCAGACTTTCAGATCTCATTCAGATCTGATAGTTCACTGGAGATTCCCATTCCCCAGAATTTGCCGTAAAGGCAGCCTGTGTTTCTGTGTTTGCTCCGGCTCTTCAATTCGTTTCGGTCAAAATTGGAGTAGTCAAAAATATAGATCATTCATACATCATTATTGATATCATATTGATATGCGATGAACATCTATGAACTAACTATTCCTATAGAAAATATCCCAAAAATCGGTGGATCAAAAATCAGTGGTCCCCAGGACCCGCGCCAGTCGCACCACCTGCCACAGTTGGTGCTGGGGACACAGGAAATTGGTAGATGAAAACCTCAGATGCTGAAAGACTGAAGGAAAACCCTGGTGATGCAACTGATATGATGCATTTTGTGTCGGATTTTGCAGATTGACATGATTGAATGATTGAATAAACTGGAAAAAAACTGGATGTCAGACTTTATTTATGGGTGTTTTATGTTGAAAAAAGGATGCTTGGCGATTTTGCAGATTTTCCATGGGATTGTTCCATCGGGATCAAGGCCAAAGATGCTGATGGGGAGACCGTGGAAGGACAGGGCGATTTTTCATGATGATTTTATCATGGACATAGCAGTCATGACATGAAATTTGTGGCTGAAATATCTGAAATTGTACTTTTTTTTAACCAACTCTCCCATAAAATCACTTGGATTTTAGTTCTATTTTGCTTCCCATCATTTGGAAGTGTCTTTAAAAAATTATGAGTTCACCAAAATCCACACCCAATAATATGCTCATTTTGATAGTGACGACAAGCAAAAACACCACGATATGGGACCAATTCCTCCAGGACAAAGCCCACCAGGCCCTCGATTTGTGGGGCCCCTAGACATGACATGTCAAAGGTCGCTGAAGGTGATAAATGATAAATGATAACTGACATTTTTCATAACAAATCCCAGGTCTTACTTATCAACAAAAAATCCTTGCTACGAATTTCGAAACGACATGAGATCACATGAGATATCTCGGGTATTAACTATTGATGACATATCAATATTGTCAAATCATGGCTGAGATTTTTATTTACATAACCTGGTAAACATACAAAAAACTATTGAAACCATGGCCCAGTCGAAATAGTGGATTTACCCATAGCATGGTGGATCTGTCCATCGTTTTTTGGGACTGTTTAGAGGGGCATCCTGAGGCCTGCGTTGCCATGGAAGATGAAGAGCCTCAAATTCTGACACGTTGGGCGGTGCCTTGAAGTTGAAGTGGGTCAGAGCTGGGTAAAATGCGATGTTTTTGGGATGTTTTGGGATGGTTTTCCACTAAGCTTAGTCAAAATCTATATGGATATGCCATATGAATCCATATGAAATGCACCATTTTTGATAGATGTTGTTCATCCCACATATGAGCATTGAAGAACATATGATAGTTATCTGATAGTTGCTGGCAAAAATTGTAAAATGATCGGAAGATGTCTGAACTTCTGACAGCTCCAGGTTTGCGCTCTGATGTTTGGCTGGTTCGATGCCTCAGCGACATCCGACATCCACACCTGAACTGCTCCAGGGGAACATCCAGGAGTTATGAAAGCCAGGAAATGTCTCATTCATGTACATCAAATCATCGAATATAATTAATATGATATTAGAATCATATTACCATCATATATGATGTGAACCATTCGCCATATTATTACTGAATTGTTCGAGATCTGAGGGTCACTATGGTGCCCATCCTTATGATGCAGCCGCACGAAGAGCGGCCACGACAACAGTTTGGAGCTGAGAATTTCTCGGCCAAAGTTCCCATCTGCTGAGGATTTCTCCAAAAATGGCGGTGGTTACACCCAATTTATGGCATTTCAATGGGGAAAATTCTGGTAAATTGGGGATTTAAGAACTGAATGTTGGGCGATTTTGATGGGAAGAAGTTGTGAAAAACTATGACATGAACATGTGGGGTGTATCCATCATTTTCAGATAATTGATATCCATGTTCTATCAACAAAAGAGAATAATTATCAACGATTGAAGGAAATGACCTGGCATTTTGGGGGGCTGTACCCAATTTTGGACAAGCCCCAAACTTCGAAACTAGTTTGGGCTGGTACCCCTTAGATTCCCAATCTCTCAAAGTTGAAGGATAAGTGATCTCTTCGCGTCTGCCGAAACAATGGATTTGAGGCTCTTTCGGCAATTCTTGTTGAAGTCGGGGGCTCAGAAATGTGTCCTTGGTGGGCTTGGCGTAACGTGTCACCGACTGTGAGATATCATGACATTTATATAATAGGGTTCATCATATTCTGTTGGTTACATCACCTAATGTTGAAATCTTGATGGTGCAATCTCCATTTTCACTGTTGATTTTCTCATGAACACCTCCATTTTATAGGGTTGCAATGGGTTGCACGTGCTGATTTTCTTCATTCTTCTGCCATGTTTGGATCAAGATTCGAGGCCATGTTTCTTCATCCTGCCACTGTGGATCTTGTTGTGGTGGTTGGACTGTGTGCAGTTGCTGTTCATGTGGCCCCCAGCATGTCTTGTCGGTGAAAATCTGTGAAGAAACAGCTGGAAGTAGATGGCAGTTGATGACAGGATTCAGATCGTGCACCCCTTCTTCTTCTTTCTGTCGCTTGGTGCAAGCCAATAGGAACCCAACATCACATATTTCAGTGGTGGGGGACCATTTTCACTGTATGATTCCAAGATACATTTGGATCATTGGATGCAGGGTCTTTGCAAGGCAATGGGACAAATGTGTAAAGCATAAATAGATAGTAACATATAGTAACCATATCACCATCTCCAGATCATATCTAGCGAGATGTCCAACTCGATACGCAGCTATGGCTGAGGCTGTGCCATACCTTGCTACCAGCAGCACTGGTGTGGTTTCTCTTCACCATGCAGGCGGCCAAAAGGATCCAGTCCATGAGCCATGATGTTGACTTTCCATGACCTTCCCATAGCCAATTATAACCGATTTTTTGGGGGTTTCCTTAAATGGAGGTACCCCAAAATGGATGGTTTATCATGGACAATCCAATGAAAATGGATGATTTATAATGGTACAAAACCTATGTTAGGAACTCCCCATATTTTGTAATGGGTTTTCCCCTTGACCAAGTGCAACTGAGATACTTCGGCTGAGGAACTCCTCAATTTCCCTGGCAGGTTGCGGACGAGCACATCGTCCTGGATCAACGAAAGTCGCGACAAGTTGAGGTGGGCAATGCTGAAAAGCAACATGTTCCCAGCATCTTCCATGAGTTTTTTTTGTCGGTTGGAGGAATAAATCATATATCATTTATATATTAACTTTATATTGTATCAGTGCCTTATTATAATTTGTATATGTATATATATATAAACTGTAGTATCCTGATCCCGAAGGCACTTATACAATAAGGCACTTATCCTGAAGCACTGGGATGCCATATTAGATTGAAGTAGCAATTTTTCGTTTCAACATCCCAGTGCTTCAGCACTCACTTCCAGTCCAGGCTGGCGAGGTTTCTGTCATTGAGGACCCGCAGCCTCTGCTGCTGAAAGAGTTGATTATGGTGAATCCCATCGCACTGGTGGGGTGCGACGCTCAAATTTTTTGGACCAAAAAACTGGTGGTTTAATGGTGGTTTTATGGATGGATAATGGTTTTATGGTGGTTCTATGGTGTTTTTATGGATGGATGATGATAATGATGGATAATGAGAATGAGAATGATGGATAATAGGTGATTTCTGTATATTGATCAATGATTTTTGTGTGTTTTTTGCCTGGGTGTTTTATGATTTGGATATGGCACAACTGGGATAGCACTCATTTTTGGGATCGGAAACATGCAACTTTGAGGTAGATCAAGTTGGGCCTGTCTCAATCAAAATGGGGGGTACGCACGGTTATCTCATGGTTTAAACATGTCTTAAACCTCATTTTCACATTTTTTTTGTGGCCATGAATTTGCGGATTTTGAGGCACATTTGCCACTAGAAAAAACACATGCCACGTGTCAGATCGATGAAGACTGAGGTTGGGATGTTCCGTCAGTATTCCCATTGTGCTCTGTTCGTTGTTCAGCGTTTTTGAGACCAGGTGGGACGAAAACTGGACGAAAATCTGGATGATGGCCTGATGGCTATCTTCAAAAAACACATTTAAAACACACACTTCAAACTTTCATGTCTGATGAAGATGATCAAGATATATTCTCAACATTATCTATAGTTATTTCCGTGTGATGTCATGTTCAAAGTTGTTTTCATGGTCAATTTCATGACTCGGTGTTCAAACAAAAAATGGGCGCCGGACTGCCAGGCGATTGAAGCAAGCACAATCCTTCGTGAACATGATCTACGGACCCCTCACAGTGCTACAGCTGGTATCGATGTACATCCTGTACCATCTGCGCTTTGCACAGTTGCCCGAGGCCTGTGCCAGATTGTGCCAGTGCTGTAATCTTCTGTGGGATCTCCATGAAAACTGCTGGGCAAATGTCCAATGGTTATGATCATTTCCCCCCTTAAAACAGAAATGTGACTTTCCAAACATTTCCAATGGTTTACAGCAGTGACTTTCCAATGGAGTTTTAAGTCAAGGTGTGCCACACATTTCTGTGTCACATGGCATGGCACATGGCATGGCGCCGATTGGCGGTGCAGCGGTGCAGATGTACCTGGCCGGCTTTTACTTTCTGCTGAGCATCCCTTGCTTTGCCGTTTGGCCCCTCGGCGGCCCAAGGCGGAGGAGATATCCTCGTGTCATGAAAATGACATAAATAACAAATGGAAGATTACCCATATGGATTTATCCATCATTTATCCATCATTTACCCATTGTTGATGTTGCCATATCTTACCATATGTTTGCCAAGAGGTGCCTTTTCATGAGAAAAGTCCCCCTTCAAGTTCCGGGCCTTGGCTCGTACAGACGCTCGTCTTCCGACCGAGGTGCGTCTGCCTGATCTGCGCCAACCAATTTGCCAAGCGGGACCTGCAGTTGGTGCAAAGCCAACGTCTGGAGCGAGCCAAAGAGCTGGCAAAGAAGGCAGGATTTTGCTGGAAAATCCAGGGATGTTGCTGTGATGTAACGGTGAAAATAGATGATATATATATATATATATGTTTTCTTGGTTGAAAATCATAGACTTCCAATTTGGACTTCATGTTGATGGTTGCAGTGGATGATGATGATGATGATGATGATGCAGGACCTGGCCGTGTGCGGGACCAAGGAGGATCTGGGAGATCGGACCAGTTTCCACTTGGAAAGTGGGCAGAAAACACATGGCATCTGTCATCCACCATCCATTTGTCATCCATGTTTGATCCATGTCATCATCCATTGATCCATCATTTCTAGCTTTATGATTCATTTATCCATCATTTATCCATCATTTATCCACCATTCCATGCTATCCGGCCCGAGACCATCCATTCCACCATCCATGTCATCCCACACCCAGATTTCCCGAGGCAAGAAGCTCCAGCAGAGAGCCTGGTGGATTGCACAGAAGCCATCACTCGGGAGTACGAATTGATCTACACCGCCCCTTGGCTGAGGAGGTCGTCACTGGGAGGTCAACCCGGGAGCTTCTGGTTGTGGGAAAAAAGCTGAAAACCTATGGTGTTTACCTGGTGATTAAAGGACCGGATAACCCCACATGTTACCAACTTCTTTAGACTTAGACTGAGCATAGAAAAGCAAGAAGGGAAGAGGAAGTATAAGAGTGATGGAGCGGTGATGGTGGGTGAGTTTGTGTGTGTGTGTATGTATGTTCATGTACCGTGAGTGAGTGAGTGAGTGAGTGAGTGAGTGAGTGAGTGAGTCAGCGAGTGCGCAAAAGAGGCGGAGCCCAAGGGACGCCAGGGCGTACATCCAACCCCTTGGCAGTGCACATTGTCCCACGCCTGCCACACAAAATGCACGTTGTCCCACGCCTGCCACGCAAAAGAGGCGGAGCCCAAGGGACGCCAGGGCGTACATCCGACCCCTTGGCAGTGCACATTGTCCCACGCCTGCCACGCAAAAGAGGCGGAGCCTAAGGGACGCCAGGGCGTACATCCGACCCCTTGGCAATGCACATTGTCCTAAGCCTGCCACGCAAAAGAGGCGGAGCCTAAGGGACGCCAGGGCGTACATCCGACCCCTTGGCAGTGCACATTGCCCGACGCCTGCCACGCAAAATACACATTGTCTCACGCCTGCCACGCAAAATACACATTGTCCCACGCCTGCCACGCAAAAGAGACGGAGCCCAAGGGACGCCAGGGCGTACATCCGACCCCTTGGCAATGCACATTGTCCTAAGCCTGCCACGCAAAAGAGGCGGAGCCCAAGGGACGCCAGGGCGTACATCCAACCCCTTGGCAGTGCACATTGCCCGACGCCTGCCACGCAAAATACACATTGTCCCACGCCTGCCACGCAAAATACACATTGTCCCACGCCTGCCACGCAAAAGAGGCGGAGCCCAAGGGACGCCAGGGCGTACATCCAACCCCTTGGCAGAGCACATTGTCCCACGCCTGCCACGCAAAATGCACATTGTCCCACGCCTGCCACGCAAAAGAGGCGGAGCCCAAGGGACGCCAGGGCGTACATCCTATCCTTTGGCAGTGCACATTGAAGGGACGCCAGGGCGTACATCCAACCCCTTGGCAATGCACATTGTCCCACGCCTGCGACGCAAAATGCACATTGTCCCACGCCTGCCACGCAAAAGAGACGGAGCCCAAGGGACGCCAGGGCGTACATCCGACCCCTTGGCAGTGCACATTGTCTCACGCCTGCCACGCAAAAGAGGCGGAGCCCAAGGGACGCCAGGGCGTACATCCGACCCCTTGGCAGTGCACATTGTCCCACGCCTGCCACGCAAAAGAGGCGGAGCCTAAGGGACGCCAGGGCGTACATCCGACCCCTTGGCAGTGCACATTGTCCCACGCCTGCCACGCAAAAGAGGCGGAGCCCAAGGGACGCCAGGGCGTACATCCGACCCCTTGGCAGTGCACATTGCCCCACGCCTGCGACGCCAGGGAGTGCGTGAGTGAGTGAGTGAGTGAATGAGTGAGTGAGTGAGTGAGTGAGTGAGAGTGTGAGTGTGTGTGTGTAACATCTGAATAGATGTAAAACTTCTCTCTTTTTTCTTCCTTCCGTCCTCTCCCCTTCTAATAAGAATAATGCAGGGGGACAGAGCTCTCTGATGCTACTCTGTCCAACGAAGCTATGCATCAGAGAGGGAAGCATCCATTGGCCATGGATGTGTACCTGCAAACACGTCTAGGCTGGTTTTGCACGTTACAGGACTCAGTTCCTGACGGATCACTATAATGATCCATTCTTGTCTAGTGTGATTCCTATGGTGACTCCGACATGGTGCCATAGGGCCAATTGAGGCAACCCTGTTTAGGGCCAATGTCGACTGAATTGACTTCCGAATTAACACACTTTAATTTGGTAATTCGTTTAAGTAAAGTGAAACAGTTGGCCTTCTGTTTTTCGGCCTCTTAGGGTTGTCCCGCTGCTCTTGTGGTCCCAGGGAACCTCGCCAATTTCGTTTCTTTCACTGTGAAGCCTGTCCGAACTACCAGAAACTTCGTTTTTCTGCAGCTTCAGCTTTGGAAGTGAAACATGGCCATGTGAAAGGTTACAGGCAGGCACACGACTTGCAGGTGTGGTCTTTTTTCTTTTGATGGTTGTCTGGTGAGGTGAAACATATTGTGCACCTAATTCGCTGGAACTTGAAAGCCGTTTATGCCAATTGGGGCAAGACTTGACCACGGTCCCGGAAAGGGAATAACGCACGACTCTTAGGTTTGTAGGAACTGAGTTCTGTGTTTTAACTAATTGTTTTGGTTCCTTTTGTTTTCATCAACTAGTTCCCCATTTGGTCCCTAATTCTCCCTGCGTGCCTCTCCGTAATGTGTCGTGGGGTTTAGGTGTGTGCTCTGTTTTGGTCAGGTCCGTTTCGCCGTGTAGGTTGGTTTTGGAGGTCCGTCTGTTCCCCTCCCCCCCCTGCGCTGTTTTGGCCCTTTGCCCGTCGTTTGTGTCCGCTTCTTTCTTCCTTTTGCCTTTCAGGGTTGACCCGGCTTCGGCCGGGTGTGTGTGTGTGTAACATCTGAATAGATGTAAAACTTCTTTTTTTTCTTCCTTCCGTCCTCTCCCCTTCTAATAAGAATAATGCAGGGGGATAGAGCTCTCTGATGCTACTCTGTCCAACGAAGCTATGCATCAGAGAGGGAAGCATCCATTGGCCATGGATGTGTACCTGCAAACACGTCTAGGCTGGTTTTGCACGTTACAGGATTCAGTTCCTGACGGATCACTATAATGATCCATTCTTGTCTAGTGTGTGTGTGTGTGTTTGAGTGTGTGTGTGTGTGAGGAGGAGGAGGACGGGCGAGGAGGAGGAGAAGGAGAAGGAGGAGGCGGATACAGAACTAAAAACAAAAACCCCACACGTCAATGTGGGGAATAATTTGTTTTTCACATATATGGTGTTTACCTGGTTATGTGTTTCCCATATTTTTTTATTGTGAGATAATATGTTTTTCGCTGACAGTCTGAAATTTGTGTTTCAAAAGCCTGTTGCATCCAGCTGTGCTGTTTCGACTGGTAACCTGGAGATTATCCCCTGAGGTCTGATGTGGCTGTCAATGACTACCCGGATGCAGAAAAAAAAGGCGCAACTTGCTGCAGATATCTGCAGATGACAATCTAAGCATTCTAAGCTGAAACCATTTGAGCACTTGGGCAACCAGCTGCGATGACACTTGGGCAACAAGATGGCCCGGCCCCTTGCTAGTGGTGAAGCATCCTGCCAAGTGAATCAAGCAGTGATTTGATGTTGAGTCATGGAATGGATCATTTTGTATGCAGCATTTGTGCCCAAGAAAGAGACTCTACTAGCGGCACTAGCGCACTCAGATGGCGGAAAGGGCCGAGATTCGCGTCCTCTACGTGAACGGCGACTTTGCTGAGCTGAATAGACGGCTCGGACAAGAGCTCGCCCATGATGCAGAGGCTTTCACAACCACTCTTGCCAACTTGCCGAAACTGCTAAAAATGGCAGAGAAAAAACAACTAATGGGACCCTCCCTTGGAATGGAAGCTCAAGCGCGTTTGGGCGCTGTCGACGAGGACGTCGACACTCACCCCCACTTGCCGGACACCATGCAGTCGGAGGAGGGAAAGGCCGTCCTTCGGGAAATAGAGCAAAGTGTCACCAAGCTCCAATCCAGGCTGACCAAGGAGCATCGTCTGCTTTATGAAGTAGCCAAAGCTATGAATGAGAAAGGGGCAACATCCAGGCCAGCCTGGGCAAACGGCGCCCACGTGTTTGTGACACCATCCGTCGCAAACCATTGTAGTGACCTGAAAAAAGAACTTGAAGAATACAAGACATCTAAGAACAAGCCCGTGGGCAAAGGTTGTGTCCTTGTTTCAGATAGATACCTTGAAATTGTGAAGACGGCACTTCACACCAAAACGCAGGGAACGCCAGCGAAAAAGTTCAAGTTGGAGGAACAGAAGTCCATTTTCATCGGCCCAATCAGGAGCATAGACACATTCCGCGGCGGTCCTTTGAGCCTCGCCACACGGGAGACCAAAACCACTGGAGACATTCCAACGAGCCAGCTGGAACCAGACAGCCAGGTTTGGAATGGGAAGATGTCTTTGGGAACTGGCACCCACAAGAAGCATCTTCTGTATAAAGCAGCTAAAGCAGATGCTGGAAAGGATGTCACACTCCAAGCTGGGGAAGCATCCGAGGATCTTATTGAGAGTGAAGAAGAATCTTCGGGGGTAGACGTTGAAAGTCGCTGCAACAGGCCAGTTGATGTCGAGCAGCTCATGAAGAGCATGAACCTGGAGTCAGATCTGGCTGACCTCAATTGGGACGAGGCAGAACATGCTCACCTCAATTGCCTCATCAACCGAAAATTCAAAGAAGTGATCCAAGCAGGGCTCGAGAAGTCTGTAGAATCTCACAAGTCTCACAAGGCAAAGAAACGATTGATGCAGAGGAAGCTCGAGAAATTCCCAGTTCCAGAAGTGACATTCTCAGTAAACAAAGGCATCCATGTTGTAGCGGAGGAATTTCGCGAGAATGCGCTCCTTTTCATGAAGCAGCTTCTCACTCAGGAGCAGCAGATTGAGAAGAAGTCTGGGTCTTCCGATTCAAAGGGCTCCATTGCAGCTCCAAATCCAGCCTCTTATTACTTGTCGAAGGGCAAAGGCATGCCCAAGAAGGAGATGGCTCGAGCGCAGGAGCGAAAGAATGGAGTCTATTTTTCTCGGCAGCAGCCCAGCAGTGCATCTAGAACATAGATGAAAATAGTGTACAGAAGTAAGCTGCCTGGAATGATGCATCTAGCATCTAGCAGCCCATTTGCCATGATGGGGCCCTGCAACGCCTTGAACATTGAGCTAGGTGATCCCAAAATTGCTTTCGGTTGACATCCTTGTTCTCCGTAACTGAAAGAAGTTTTCGGAATTTGCAAGGCAGCGCCCCACCAAGCTCACAAGATGTCACAAGTACAGTTCTGAGTTCTGACCGCACAGGATTTCAGCGTAGCGACGGCTACATGCGCCGGTCTGTCAGTCCACGTGCGAAGGCACCCACAATTTGACAGGCCTGCCCTGATTCACTGTTTGCGGATCCTTGATATATCTTGATATGTGAAGATATGTGACGTAGCTCCGAGAGCAAAAAAGACGGGCAGGTTCTGCATGGTGCCAGGTGCAGTTTATAAACAAATTTGTGGAGTTTTTTCTGCAACGTGTTCACATCTTCGTCGTTCCTTGTTCACTGAGTCACAGTGCTGGGCAGCAGGCAGCTGGATGTCGAATCAATCCATTTTTTGGCTCAACTGCCGTATGTTCCAACTGGCGTCCAGTGTTGACCATGGAGGACCTGCAGTTGATGGTCGTTTTAATGTGGGATGGTTTGAACAGAAACATAGGACAGTTCATTTTGACAGGAGTTGGAGCAACCCTGGAGGCTGGCTGTCTGTCAAGCTGAGTTGCAACCATCACCAAGTTTTTTCGACTGATTCAGACAGACACATGTTGAAGTCAAACATTACCTGGATTTAACATTCATTATGCTATATTTAACAACAAATATCACTTGGAAATTGGAAACAATCAGATAAGTGTTAAACACATTAATTACCCCAGTAAATCTTAGTAAAGCAATACAACAATCCAGCCATATTTTGATGGTTTATACCACCCATAAAAATGGAAAAAAATGGGCATGGTGTCAAATTCATCATTAATTATTCACTAGGTATCAGCTTAAGACGATCAGATGGTCTGTTTTTCATAGTTACCCCCAGTTTTCTCCACACGTCCACCCATAGAATTGGATGATGGGAAAATTTACAGGAAAACCCTATATTTGATGGTAAAAACCATGGTTTCCTGTAGATTTTCCCCAACAAACCAATCCAGTGATCCACCTCATCAATGGTTAGGCCAACGTTGCCTTTGTGCGACAAGGCCATTGATCTGAAAGCAGCGGGGCCCAGATGGGCCCAGGCTTCGGCTGCAACTGGGTCAATCCCTCTGGTTATGACTAACAGTTCGCCATGGTTAATAGATGGCCCATAGAAATAGATGGTTTACCTATATATATATATATATCAAAAATGGGTGGATTTTCCATGGCGAAACCAGATGGTACCTGAAAAAATGATGAAACATGGGGATCAAACATGAGATAACTAGGCATGTAACCCCCAAATGATGATTAGTTGATGGTTGATGATTCGATTTGGATCCAGCCACTGGTTGGGGGTAGATGGATCCCAGCCACTGAGGCGGCCAATAAGATCCTATCCAGTGCACAGACGCGGGAGAAATGTTTGAAGATCTTCCAGTGCCGCATCTTGCGAGTCGCGAGTTGCGAGTCGATTTTGGGATATACAGAGATTGATACAAAGAGCATCCAAAAACAGCAAAAAAAACACGTGTCTTGATGGAGCCACGAATCACCAAGAATTCAGTGAATCATGACATATCATGATGCATCATCACGAATCCAATTTTTTTTTCCCAGGTACGCTTCCCGATTGGTGGCGTATGTTTTGCTACGCCTGAACCTCAAATCTGACTGCGACTGGCCGCGTTTGTTTGCACTCGTGACCACTGCAGGTGGCAGCTTGAAGGATTTAGGTGCGGATCTTTTTCAATCGCCTTGAGAATGGCTGAGCTTTGCCAATCAAAATTCATGAGATTTACCATAGATTTACAATTTTTTACCATCCATAAATCGAGTTGTCATGAGCAGATTCATGATTTTCTATTGAAACCTGAATCGACTCATTGGTGAGTTCATCAACATATTTTCGCCTCACAGTTCCGTAGCGGAGCTGCTTAGCTGCGGAGGCAAACACTTTGAGGCGCTCTCAAAGAACCTGTCCACAGCGCGGCGTTTCTTCAAACTTTTTAGGCATCTGACACCGTGAATTGGAACTGCCAGAACTGGAGACAAGGAACAGATTGAACAGATGCGAAGATATCTGAATTTATTTGTTTCGGTGCGGAACAAACGACATTGCCAAAAGAAACGGATGCATTTGACCAAAGCAGGTTTATTCTTGCAAACCGTTTGTTTAGTCAGTCTAGTCTCGTGAAATTCGAAAACCCCAAGAACAGCTTGCCATCTCGACGGCAACTGCAGGTTCATGAAGCATTTTGAGGACCTTGCCGATGCCAAGGAGGAAAAGTCAGGGCCCCTAGCCGCACCTTCCGCTGCAGCTGGGTTGTTGAGAATGGTGGATTTAGCCCCCAATAGCGATTTTTCATAGGGAAACTACGATCTATGGCCACTAGCATGGCCATCAAGAAATTTAATAATATTGGGAACCTATGGGCCTGATGATTCACCAGTTTTTTTCTGGTGTGTCTTCTTCCATTCGTTTTCCCCCAGTGGCTTCTGAGGGACCCCACCTTCCAGAAGTTGTTATACCTGGACGTGGCGGCCAATGTGGTTGCAGATATTTCGGAGGACTGGGAAGAATCGACGTGATGTTTTGGGAGAGACCAGATATGGATTGTAATGTGCCGCCCTGCTTTTGTGACAAAGTGTCGCTATGAAATACCTCCTTCTGTGTTCAACGCTGCTTCTGCCATTGTGATGGTGCAATCGTGCTACAACATGTTATTGTTTCATTGCTATACTTTGATTTTCTACACAGCGTATTGTGCTTTTATCTTGAATCTATGTGGTGGACGCCGTTTGTTGCAAAGATGATCCTTGTTGTCGTTGCTATTTATTCTCTGTCAACCTTGCCCGATGTTGGTTGTTTCTTTGCTGTCATTGCCACGGGAATTTGGATTGAACGTCAACCAGCATCGACTTAAATGGCAAGCCCTCCCATCCCAAAGAGGCTACAGAATCCCAAACAACGAGAAGTCACCGCGGCTGTTTCCCATATATTCCCATAGTATGAGTAGCAGTTTGGAGTCGGTTGGGCAGCAATCTGCTATAGAGCGCACGTGCGTTTTGAGCGTTGCCCACTGGAACTTGTTAAAATCATTTCCATTTTGGGCGGCAAGCGCGGGACGTGCAGTGGCACAATGTGTTAATTGTTGCGTTTTGAGCTAGGATGGAATGTTTCACCATGACAGGAGAAAACACATCAAATTCTGGACGACTTTGGTCATGTTTGTCATGGTTGTCTGGTGTAATTTCATTTGCAGAAGCTGAAAACGTAGCCTGCGTGGGCGAATTTACATCTTTCTTCTCGAATTTCAACAGCGGATTAGGTGGCGTTCTATGGATGTTTCGCTTTGGTGTTTCAACAGTTGATTCAATTTTGTTCAATTGCTGACAGGTTCCAACCCTCAACGGCCTCCGACAATTTGTGGAGCACTGCTGGTAGATACGCAGGTATAAGCGCACAGTTTTTGATTGGCTGCGAAAACGCGTTGGAATGAATGCTGTGCGCCCAGTCCAAAGCGCCAGTATGCGCGGCAATGACTGGCGAGCTCCCCCAGCTGTCAAGTCTGATAGAGGCAGGTAGAGCCGGGGCCAGCTGATCAGCGAGCAAATGATGCATAAAAATGAATAAAATGTAGTGAGCTGCAAATGCATCTTTGACATGAATGGCGTGTTTGGACCCTAACGTGAAATGAAATAAAGTGCTGCAATTATCTGCAATTTGAAAAGAAAGCATAAAGGGTAAATCCACCTTAAACTTTGCTCGCAGACGGCTTGGAAAAGGAAAAGGGAAGAGAGAAAAATGAGGAGCAGAAAGCTAGGAGCGCAGATAGAATGCAAACATATCTCAGATATGCCACAGGGATTGTCGGAATACATGTCAAAATCAGTAACAGATAGACTGTCAGAATGAATGCCAGACAGAATGTCGGACTATATGTCAGATATTGTCAGATAGATACATTGTCAGTTGGTGGGATGACGCGAAGAAAGTAATTATTGTGCCTGTTTCGTTGTTGTTTCTTGTTGTTGGAACGATCTCTGAGCCGGCGCTCACGCCGCTGCCGGCAGAAATTGAGAGATCTGAAAAGGGTGAATATGTTCATGCTATGGCAATTTTCACACGGAAATCAACAGCCATGAGATAATGCCAACCCTGGATCAATAAACCCCAAACGGTTGTTTAATTGGGGGGATGCCATTTAAATATCAGATGAAATGACTATTTGAGGAGTACCACCCCAATTTTCATAAACCAGGGTTTAGTCTCATCCGGGGTTGACTTTTCCAGTAACAATGAGATGCTGGAGGCGCGCCCTGAGACAAGATTAGATATATATGGGCTCGTTGGTCCCCTTCGCGAATGTTCATGAGATAGTTCAGTATCCTCGCCCATCCGCCAGTGTTGTTGTTGGTAAATTGGATAGGAAAAATCTATTTTGATGCATTCTTGGGACATTCAACGGGAATCATTAGATATATCATGATACCATCTGGTTATGACTAACATAGCCATGGTTAAGCCATGGCCCATAGAAATAGATGGTTAATTACCTATTAATAGCATGGTGATTTTCCATGGCGAACTGTTAGTCATAACCAGATGGTATCATGATATATCCAACAACTAGGTTTGATATACGGCTATCAACACTTGATGACCTAGTGGGATTCATAGGATTCACAGGGGGATATTCCAACAGATGGCTTTGGGGTAACCATGAAAACCCCGTGGTCAGAATCATTGGGACTCTAACGGTTGATGGATTTCGTGTCCCATTTCCGCAAACCATGAGGGAAACCAGAATTGGGGCCCGAAATCCAATTGGAAACTAATGGGAAACGAAATCCAATATGAATTTGGTGATTTGATTATGGTTTCAAGATGTTTCAAGTACAAACGAAAAGAAAAGAACTAATATTCAATGTTCAAACGGGAGAAATATAACCTTTGGGGGCACCCCATTTTGCGATGGGCCAACACCCGCAAAATTCGCGTCATCTGCGGGTCAATTCGGTCCAAATCACTCGAATCACATCCGACTTGGCCCTTGGGTCTGGCTGAGGGGCGATACATGTATATATTTTAAGTATTGTATGAAAGTAGGTCCAATTTTCAGAGCAAAAGATACAATACAAGTAATGTATGAAAGTTGTTCCGACTTTTTGTTAAGTATTGTTCTGTAGATATACTTACAATACTTTCATTTATATTTTGTTCTGAAAGATCTACAATATATATGAAAACATACGTGTAGAATATGAATCGAATACTTACACCATCCAAACATCAAACAAAACGGTTTTCAAATGACGTACGGGTGAGTTCTATCTCATTTCTCAGTAGCCAGCTGATCCATTGGTTTTTTTCCATGAAGGATTGGACCTCCCTGGAGAAAGTTGGCTTCTTGCGCAAGGGCACACTGCATCCGCGCACGGAGTGACCTCCAACAAATGCCCTTGTGCTCATCAAAAATCAGAAGTTTTGATTTCCATTGGGGAGTATTTTATTAAAATTTCTTGTTCATGTGCAACCATTTTTTCCTTTCAAAACCATGTCCGAACCATTTCCAACCCATTTCGATCAGTGTTCCATCCAGTTCCCAACATGCCATAAAAAATACCGGTAGCAGGTACTATGCCAACTGGTGCCAGTTGGTTTTGGCAGTTGTGGAGATTATCGTCACCAAGATCAAGGCTGGGATCATACACATATTTCCAGCTGGTGCACGGTGCATTGAAACCCCGCATCAAAACCAGGTTCCAATTGTGAAATCCCCTACACATGGCAGTTGTTATGGGAAAATATTCTATATAATTTAACCAAATGATTTTTTTCCATGTTTGATTACCAAAAAGAACACCCAAAATTATTGGGCTGGTGGTTTCAAATGTTTCCAATATTGTTTTTGATTATTTCGAACATATGACTGGGATGATGATCCGCAACGACCCAACGATTAGATTAATATGTTTCCTTTTGGTTGAAACCACCAATCAGTTTCGATATTGATGGTCATTTGAACATTTGAAAGTGATGATTAAAAATCGGCCTTGTATCCGTCACTATCATCTACACTGGTTTTCGTTGCATTCATCCTATTTGTTGTTTCATCCTATATCATCAACCAGAAAAAACTTCCCCTATCAACCAACTATCAACTACTGCATGTAGCAACTATCAACCATCAACATCCATTAACTATTTGCGAGGTGGGATCTGGCAAAAAATGATCTGACTCGGGTGCATTCCTTGGGCTATGGTTTGGTCTGGCTTGGTGTAAAGCGCTGAGGCGGACCGTGCCATGGAGAAAGCTTCCAAGCCAGACGCGTCCAAAGAAGTTCTGCGGAAAAGAACCATGGCAACTTGGATCCAGATGCGGAAATCGCATGTCTTCATGTCCCTAAGGTCATGGTGGGAAATATTTGAAGCGCACCAGATATCACAAGATATAAGATGCCAGTCATCATTTGATTCACCAACTCACCAGATATCACCAGATTACTGGCATCATACAATATCATACATATAATATATCATTGGAAACCATATATATCATATATATCATATATATCATATATATCATATATATCATATCAGTATCACCAGATATATAAAATACACCATACATATATTAATATATATTTATCACCAGATATCATTGGAAACCCGGAAGATTTTCTACGGACGTCCCCGCGATTCTTGGAACGCGAGGCTCAACTTGAATTCAGCAAGTTCCTGGCGGATTTGGTGAAGGTGCTGAAGTTGCCGTTGTCGTTTTGCAAAACATGGATATATAGGAGATATGATGGATATGATGGATAGATATGATGTTAAAATATATGTTTATAGTGATATTGATGATCATTGTTTATTTTTCCCAGTCTTGATTGATATCGATTATGATCCATAGTTTGCCAGCATCATCCGTCATCCTTTACCGAAAATCATCAAGAAGATCAAGATCCGCTTCAAGATCAGGAGTTCTGAAGCACCAGCAGTTTCCGTTACAGGGTCAACTGATATCAGCTGATTTATTCATCCTTAAACCAGATAAATGTCACTATTGGGGGGTATCCCCCAGTGGTTTGCCACTTCAAAATATATACCGTTTTTGGGTGGCATCCATCCTTCGGATACCATGTTTTGTGAACTCAGATTCTGAAGATTCCACAAATATCGTTGGTGGTGACTGGAACCATGGAATTTTATGACTTTCCATAGATTGGGAATGTCAAAAATGGATTACATGATGATTATATGATGATATATATGACTGCTTGGTGGTGACTGGAACGTTTGGAATATATTTCCATCTCTTGGGAATGTCATCATCCCAACTGACGAACTCCATCATTTTTCAGAGGGGTAGGCCTCAACCACCAACCAGCCATCAAATCGGCCATCAAATTGGCCAAAGCCAGGCATTTTGGGATTGCGAACTCAGCTTTGCATCTGAACTGGCCTTTATCCTCTCGGGCCTCTGGGCAGCTTTGGTCAGCACCCACAAGCAACGTGGCTGCAACTGCGGATTTCTTCAGCCAGGTCAGCTGACCAAAATTCAACATTGATGATGATGATGATGATGATGATGATGATGATGATGATGATGATGATGATGATGATGTCACTGATGTTGCTGTTGCTGCAACGGGAAGTTTTGGGCCCAAAAAAAAACGATCAACACTGAACACCCAGCACATCCTTCACCAAAGTGTAGCCAGCGCTGCGTGTCTGTTCATCCGTCGTGGTTCAGGTATGCCATCCGAGTTCTGAAGTAGCTGTCCGGATGTAGCTCATCGCCAAAGAAAAAGAATGGAACGAAGCTGTCACAGCCATTCTCACGTCGCCAGCATTGGAGCACTCCTGGACGATGGTTGACTTCTGCCGCTGCCAGGCCAACAGCACAAATGGGTGCCATGATGAAACCTTTCACCAAAAGCCCAAACTTGTCAGAAGACAGTTCAAGGTTGGTAAAGCATCAAACAGTTAATCAAACATCTTTTGTTCCATCCATTTGTCATCTCTTCAAGCCAAGATTCACCGGAAAAACAACAAAGAACAACTGTGTCCATCCATGCTGCTCTCCACCGCCGACGTGGCATGGCTCAACTGGGAGCCGGAAATCCAAGCAGCGCCGGGGCCCAAAAGACTCAGCATATTGAATCCAAATTTAGAGGAGCTGATCGTGTTTGACCCACTGGCTGTCACTGGCTCATCATTTTGGAAACTTTACAAACCCCACATGGTGCCACGGCAGCATTTGGTTTATAACACATCAATCGCTTCTCGGTGATGTTGAAAAATAGGGTGCTATAAGTAGCCCAAAATGGTCCAAAAAATCCATTGGTTACTCTCATTTCATCATCATTTTCCCAGTAGAAATCATGCTTCCCATGGCTTCAGCAGAAATTCACCAGGTCTCGCCAGGCGAGGCCCAAAAACCTGGCTCGAAGCCTGGCTCGTTATAGGCCTGGAAATCCGGCGATTTTGGCACTTTTTTGGTGGGAAAAATGAGATGTAAACCATCCGAACTTGGGGTAAAAGTAGGACTTTAACCAAAAATTGGTGGCAATTCATGGGCCAAAATGAAGTTGAAGACTTTTTAAGCAATAAGAATTGGTAATGTGAATGGGGCGTGCAGTGAGATATACCCAACAATTGGGGTTGATATCATGATGACTGAGGTCCACTATGTAGTTGTTTTTGTCTCAGAAGATTTGCCTCGGAAAAATGAGGTTTGAAACTTTTTTCAGGATTTTACCTTGCATTCAGACATTCTAAGCTTTCCAGGATGGAGGGGTTTTAGTGCCTATGGCTACCATGGCTGGAGGCCAACCCAGCAGATTCCCAGCAAACACGTTCCATGGCTGGAGCAGCAGTCACTTGGCTCGGTTGATCCTTGGAAAATGATGCAAATCTGGTGGAATTTCCGTGGGGTTTATGGCAATTTATCCTTTGGATCATTGATGAACTCTTGGATTGTTGGATTGTTGGATTGTATGTCAGTTTTGGATTAAATGAGGTATGTCAGGATATCATGATCACGTCGCATTGAAATGGCATTCCTTTCTGAGAGTCTGCACCTTCGACCTGATCAGTTGCGAAAAATGGGACACCGTTTTGCTCAAGCTGAAAGCGTGGCTCGCCGAAAGCTGCCATCAAGTTCTCAGCTGGGTGCTCAGAGTTCCCAGATCAGGATCGCAGTCTCTTGCAATAGGGTGGTTGGAGCTCCATGATGTGTACCCCTATGTTTGGATGTTTGGATATATCATTCATATATCCCATTAACATATTATATATATATATATGTATATGTATATGTATATGTATATGTATATGTATATGTATATTATGTATGTATATGTATATGTATATGTATATGTATATGTATATGTATATGTATATGTATATGTATATGTGTATGTATATGTATATGTATATTATGTATGTGTCGAATGATCTACTCCCAAAAAAGAATAGTGTTCAGATGTGTTCAGCATGGCTGTGACTTTGTTTATCAACCAAACATGGACCCACATGTGTTCCTCAGCGCTCTGCCTCAAGCGCCTTCTCTCTCCGCCAATCTAATTGATCTCAGCCCGGCATGGTGAAACTTCAGTTCACGAACCCAACAGACTACGATGTGAGGGTGGAAGCCGGTGGCATGGTTCGATATTTGAGCCCCAAGAACGAAAAATCGGTGGATCGATGCGAATTCCCCGAAGGAAACTACCAGCAGTTTCGTGTGTGGTATGTAGACAGCACCGGGCACAACCAGCTTGCAGGTCCCAAACCCTACACCGTGAAAAATGATCCTGGCGTGGATCTATATGTTTGGACGGTTCAGGATAACTCTGGCTGGTTTGAGTATGACTTCGAAGTCTCGTGGAGAGCCTATGCCAGAGCCACACTGCAGGCATCAGCCCATGCGGAACCAGATCGTGAGAAACGGCAAAAGCAAGTGAGAGCAGGAACTTGTTGAGCAGAGCCAGCAGAGCTGTTCAAACGGCGGTTTTTGCTAAAGGGTTGCATTAAAAATGCAACCGCGCCTCGTAATCTGTCGCTTCAAAGCGTTCGATTTAAGATTATCAAGATTTAGCCATGTCATCATACAATGTCATCATATCAAAAAGTTTTGTTCATTAGATACTTTTCACATTTCCTCCCATTTCAAAAGTATATTTATACACGTTGTGTTTGCAGCGAGGCGTGCTCCCTTATTCGTGGCGGTGATGATTGCCACCGCTTGGCGTGACACGTGCCAATCTTGCGAGCCCCTTTGGCTCGTTTTGCGCGTGGAACTGTGTGTAGCTCGGCTCGTAGATGTCTTTTTCAGCGAATCAAATCATATTTGTCTTCGCAGCACCAGACCAAAGGGCCATGGAAGACGTGTACCGCAGAGAAAAGGTGTGCCGTCACATGCCATGTGTGCACTCGCATTTGAGCTTGGTGTTGGACATTAGTGGACATTAGTGGACAGTTGATTCCCTGTCAAAATAAGTGACGCTAAGCATTGGTACCCCTATATCATTCATATATCCCATTAACTATAAATTTTATGTATACATATATATATATATATATACACATTATATATGATATAATATTATGTCATTCAGTTATATATTATAATAACTTATATATATATAATATACACATTATATAATATAAACTTACATATATATATATATTAATAACCAATATACAAGTTTATGTCATTCAGATCATTTTGCGGTTCCATTGGTCCCGGTTTGATACATCTCTGTGGTCTCATCCTGAGGTCAGACATCCCAGACATCCAACGCTGTCGGCTGCCAAGGTTTTTCCTCCCAAAATGGCTGGTGTATACCCAGTTTATGGAAAAACATGGAAAAACCATGGAAAAACATGGAAAAAACATGGAAAAACATGGAAAAACATGGAAAAAACATGGAAAAACATGGAAAAACATGGAAAACACATGGAAAAACATGGAAAAAAACATGGAAAAACATGGAAAAACATGGAAAAAACATGGAAACACATGGAAAAACATGGAAAAACATGGAAAAAACATGGAACATCTATGGAACTTTATAGCCAATTTATATCAACTTATGGACATGTATGGCTTTATATTATGGTATTTGATGGTGATTGTGATGCGGAAAATGACACTGATATAAACCATGAAATTTGTGGCGGGATACCCTGTTTGCAGACAAACCCAGGATTTCTCCAAATCTTCTCACTTCAGTTGTGTTCCAGTGCACTCAACTTGTGAACACTGGCAACCAATTTTGCAACTGACGCCATGCTCCATGGAAGCATCGTTGAACGAGATTCTGTTGGCAGCATGTCAACAAGTTCTACCTTTGGAGCAGGCGAATCGGTTGAATCAGGGCAACAGAGGGGACAGAGATACAACTGACATGAACATTTCATATGAACATTTCATGAACATATCATGAAAACGGACATGAAGTGACGTGTTTTCGCCCAAAATCCTCAGTTTCTCCAAGTTTTCTCCAGGCTCGGCTGGTGCTGGAGCCAGGCCCACGGAGTTGATTTTCAGACATCATCCAAACCACAAAAAGACAGATTTTCTTGGTAAATTAAAAACCGAAACATCATCATTCAATAATCATGATTTGATATTGATCATTAAATATCATTAAATATCATTAAATTAAATATCATTCATCATTCGATTTGTTGATGGATTTGATAATTTTGATATCCAGTTTCCAATGTTTCCATCGTCGCAGGTGAAGGTGCGGTTCGATGCAAGGGCCGAGACTTCCAATGCCGAGCTCCCCGCACCATTTTCCACAGGAGCTCGAAATTTTCCATCAGGGGCCCGTTGGGGTTGGGAAGTTCTGCGCCTCCAAGATCTTCCAAGATCTCATGAGTTCTCTTCATGTTTGTTTCAATCTTTATCTAAGATATCTAAGAAAAAACTCAATATTTGTGTATATTACATATCATATATATCCATCATATGTTTCTCAAAGACCCAAGAACCAGCTGTTTAACTCTTGAACTCAAAATCTCCAGAAAAGTTAGTTTTACCCCATGTTTGACATCGAATTTTTGGTTTGCTGGTGATGACCTTGATTGAAATAATGCCATCCGTCGCCATTTCAACAAGGCGACGCATGGCGACGGATGAGGTCATGAGGTCCTGTGCACATTGCAACAAAGCTCAAAATACAAAGTGAGTGTTTCATGGTTTTCCTCCATGGTTTTCCCCATGAAAAATTTCCTGGAAGTTTCCATAGATCTCATGTTTTTTCCATCATTTTTATCATAGTTTCCATGGTTTTTCCATCATTTTCCATGGGTTTTCCCATGGTTTTCCCATGGAAAATCCCATGGTTTTCCCATCTCCAGGATGCGCAGCCACGGTGAGGCGCTGAGCTACGTCTGTCCCTGTCCAGCCCTGGGCGGTTTGCCGAAAACCTGGAGCTTTCAGAGTCCGGAAGCCTTGGCACCTTGGCACGACCCGGAGATGGGAAGATGGGATGTTGGAGATATAGTGTGTGTATATTATATATATATAGAGAGATAGATAGAGATATAGATAGATTAGATTGGATTGGATTAGATTAGATTAGATTAGATAGAATCTGATAGATAGAATCAGATAGATAGAAAGATAGTAATTATATGTATATAATGTATATGTAATATATATATATATATACATAGAATATGTATATGTCATATGTAATAGTATATGTAAATATGTATTGAATCATAGATATACCTATATATATATACATATAGGCTATATAGGTATAGACTCAGATATAGATGTATGGATATGATTTCTACAGAATGTTTTGATTGGTCACTGTGATTGTGATTGTTTTGCTGTTTGCTGTTGGCTTCAACATATGTAGTCCTTATTCGTTTATCTGTTTTGTTTCCTTCGACACTGGATTCAAGCACGTCTCAAAGTGTTGTGAACCTGGCGATGTTGCGGAAAGGTTGGCATCATTTTTTCCACATACATTCGTCTTCGACTCACAAGTTTCAATTTAACATCATTTTCAGCATCTAAAAACAGTATGTTCAAAATCATCTAAGACCATTTTCCCACCATTTCACCAGGTTTTCACCCCAGGAGCGCCCAAAACCCAGGCCATAGCCATCCTGGAACACCTGGAGGCTCACGACAGCCTGGCAGACGTGCGCGCCACGGCCATGGGCGAAATCGCCATTTTGACCAAGGAGCACCTGGCCTGGCGACGGAGCCAAGGCGGGGATGGCGGATCTGGGGGGATCTGGGGGATGGGGATGGCAACTCTATGGGTTTTATCATGGTTTTATCATGGTTTTTGTCATGGTTTTTGTCATGTGTTTATCTATGGTTTTTATCATGTTCCATCTGTTGTTGATTGATATGTTGATTCATTTGTTGATTGATATGATGAAGAATGGTGAACATGGTTCAATTGAATAGCCGTGAAGAAACATGCCTTGGGATCATCACACGTTGATCTTCGTGGAAGAAACTGTGGCAGGTCAGTTGCACTGCAAGGATTGCGGCCATTTCTTCGCCGGGCAGCGGGGGCTACAAGATCACCAACGACAGAAACACAACAAGGCAGGATGCGAAGCCGATGACGCCATGTCTTGAGATGGATCTCTTCAACCCCAATCCATAAAATCTACTGCGATGGAATGTTCAGTCAAGAGACACAAATAGACAGAGCTGACATCTCACCATTTTTGATCACTTGACGTTTTGGCACGCCATTGGCACAATGAGCCTACGGGTCACCCTAGCAGAAATACGGGTCCTGTACGGGTCACCCTGGCGCAAGGGAGTGGAAGCTGCGTTGGTCCGGAGCCACAGTGATAAACCTGTTGAGCCACAGTCGCTATGTATTTTGCAGTGGGGGAAACATGGGGAAACACATCCCCAGTTGATTATCAGTTGATTAGTTGGGATAAAGAATCACCATCCTATCATGTTGATGGATCAATGATGGATGATCCTGGATCATCTTGAGTAATTTTGGGATAATTGGGTCATCAAAATTTCCAGTGATAATCAATCATCAGATCATCACCTGGATCATTTTGAGATAATTGATCAATGACGGATCATCCTGTCCATCAGAATGTCGATAACCCATCATACTGTGGATCGTTGCGAAATCCTGCACCAGCTTGGATGGTTAAACCATGTTAAACCCCTACAAATAATGGGCTAAACCATGGTAAATCATCTATCAACTGGTTGCTTCTACCAAAAAAACCCAGGATGCGGTGGACCTGAGCCGCCTGGCGCTGGTGCCCTACCGCCCTGCGACCTTCCCTTCCTTGGCGCCGGCGCTTGCGGCGCCGGCGCTTGCGGAGAAGCCGAAGAAAACGTTGGATCCGGGGCTCTGTGGCGAAGCTGCACCGAGCTGTGATGTTGCCATGGTTGGCTGTTGATCAAATTTATCATGTTTTTTTTGCCAAGAAAATGGCGAAAATGGTGAGTTGGGGTAATTCTACCTGATTTTTACCTGATCTCTAAAATTCATGTTCAGATTTCAGAGCCATTTCTATGTCGTCCCAGGTGCGGCCCGCGACGGCAACCTGCAACAGTTGAGAACCTTGGTCGCCGAGGGTTGGAGTTTGGCCACCCGAGATCAGCACGGTTCCAACGCGCTGCTGTGGGCTGCAGGTGGAACTAGATGGCTGGCCGCATGCTGTGCTTGGAAGCTTCATGTTTCACCAAGGTCACCAATCATTCACCATAAATTCACCATATTCACCACAAGGTCACCAATAATTCACCATACCTGAAGTATTCACCATGATAATAATCAATGATTCACCGATTAGAGCCAAACGATTCACCGATGTTTCCTGGGAATTGATGATTAAATCATTTACTGTACTCAATCTTGGGACTTGAAGATTAATTAGATACATTATTCACGAATTATTCACCATATTTCAACCAGATTATCTTCAAATTCTTGGATCTGTCCAGGTGGTGGGCACTTGGAGCTGTGTCGTTTCTTGGTGGCCTCCAATGTGGATCCGCATGGTCATCAGAAGGATCACCGCAACGCCTTGCATTGGGCGCTTCGTGGCATGTCTTGGATGCGAAACAACTGGAAAAAACGTGGTGAAAATCGGACATCAACGGAACATTTGGTGGAAAATGAAATTCTTGGAATATCAATGAATATCACAGGAAATGCTTTGGCCGATTCCTCAGATCATAGAGTCAATTCAATCATCCATAAATCATCCACAAATCATCCAAAATCACTCGAAAAGCCATGATCCATTGGGATCCATTGGGATCATAAAATAATGATCATAATTTGAATCATAATGACATGATTATCAGAATTATCAGAATTATTAGATCAGAATTATCCCAAAATTATCCCATATAATGATAATCATAATTTATATAATATCCCAAAATTATCCCAATCATATAAATTCTGATCATATCCCAAAATTGTCCCATATTTTATCCATTGGATAATATCATTATCCGATAATCCCATTCCAATCATTATCCCATTATAAATATGATCATTATTTCATAAAATGATCATCAAATTCTGATAATTCTGATAATCAGAATTATCCCAATCATAATTATCTTGGGATAAATTTGATCATTTTATGATCTATCCCATCTGAGAACATAATGATAAATTTGAATTATCCCAATCATAAAATGATGAAATTCTGACCTGCCAGGCAGCCCGCAATGGGCACATTGAGACCTGCCGCTGGTTGGTGACGGCCAAGATCGATCCCAACAAACCCACCTTGGATGGAACGACTCCGTGGGGGAACCTGGGATAACCATGGGAATTGGTACCTGAAAACCATGGGAAAACTATGGAAAATGATGGAAAACCATGGGAAAACCATGGAAAAACGATGGAAAATGATGGAAAATGATGGAACATGATGGAAAAAACATGGAAACTATGGAAAATGATGGAAAAACCACAGAAAATGATGGGAAACTCAAAGAATATCCCATGATTTATGAAATTTGATCAGCGTGAACATTGATGTTCATACTATACGATTTCCCCAATGCTTGAAAATGACAAAGCCATATCAATGGATTGGTTGGAATAACGAAGGAACAACCATGGTGAACTTACTTTCACTTGGGGAAAACATTTTGACCAATTCGCGATTTTTTTGCAGATTCAGTTTTGAACCACTTTTGGTTGCTGCTTGATTGTTGGAAAATGTATGGCTGACCCGTTCGGATTCATGAAGGCCTGATAGGCTTCGTAGTTTTCCTGTTTGACTTCCCGATTTTGCCAAAAATGGGTTCAATTTCTAGTGTTCCCTCAAAGTTCGGAAAGTCCCCGGATTTTGTTTTCTACATGACATATACCCTCTGGTAAACTAACATAGCAATTGAAAATGGCCATTTATAGTGGATTTTCCCATTAAAAATGGTGATTTTCCATTGCTATGTTAGTTCACCAGAGGGTACCTATAGTTTGAGGCACTATCGCCTCTGAGGCTTCACTGGGCCGTGTGGCAAAGTCACAAGGCCGTCTGTGACTTTTTGATCCATGAGGCAGGACGGTTACAGGGGATGAGTGTTCGTTTATCATCTTGGTTTCCATTCAATGCCACCAATATATGATATATACATCATCTTGCATATCAGATATATGATGATGGGATAATATATATAATATATACATACATACATATATATATATATATCATATACATCATATGTCGAAATTTCACAACCTCACTATCTAAAATTTTGAGAAAAACTCCATCTTTTTCATCAGCTGCCTTTGTGTCAGGCCAAGGCGGATTTGCATGCCAAGAACAGGCAACCCGGAAGCCGCGTCGCAAAAAACGCGTCGTTTTTCCATGGCTGCCATGGCCAGGTACGGCTGCAATGCATCGCAGTGGGCCGCGCTGGCCGGGTCGGTGGCGATGTGTGCGCCGTGATTTTCCAGTGATTCTCCAATAAAAACTCATTTAGTTGCTGTTAAACTCATGAATTGAATATTGGGATAATCACTGGATAATCACTGATTCTAGTTGCTGTTTTAATTGGGATATTTTGTTGATCCTGTTTTGGGATATGTGGTTGATGAGTTGATTCAGCTGATGACAGATGCAAAACAGGTGGTGTTCTTTGTTCTGATGCACCACTGTCGCGTTGTGTCCAAAAATCATCCAGCATGTTCCATATCTTCTATTTTTCTATCTTCTATGTCTTCCCATCACCATCCTCATCCGTCTCATCCTCATCATTTTCCGGATTTTCCCCAATGTTGGAGAGCCTTTGGGCAATTGGGGCCACGGGGCCTGCAGGTACATATTTGCAGCACCAGGGACTAGACCTCAAGGTGTTGAACTTCAACGGGCACTCCGCCCTGCACAAGGCCGACAACCTGCAGAAGGGTGATCGGACATGGTGAAGTTCCACCGGTGGAACATGGTTTGTTTTCTCATAGAAGGGGATGGTCATACACCCATACACACCCATCAATAGGGTTTAATATACCCATTGTAATGATTCCCAATATAGGATGGATGACCATAGCCCATATACCAGTACCATGTTTTGACGATGGCACATGTGGATTTCGAGAATGTAGGGCTTTGCCATACTTTGCCTATTTTTGGGGACAGATGTTCGTCGTGAAAGAAAAGTCCGGCTGCTAAGTGTGATCCATACCTCTTTAGCATTTGTTCCAGACCCAACTTTTCCCGATTTTAAACCAGGCATCAACAAAACAAAGGGTAGAAGATTCTTGCAAACATGGTCGACTAGTTATAAGTTATAGACATACCAACTTAACTATAGATATATCTACCAACTAGTCAAATAATATATAGACATATAATCATATATCAATCACATATCAATCACATATAAATAATATCATAAACCCTATAGTTATCAATCATATAGATATTCACATATCATATATGATCTACCATAAACCCTACAGTTCTTGGAGTTGCACCACTTTAGCTCAGCTAAGCACCAGGCGGCCGTGAAGGGCCAGCGTTTGGTCTGCGAATGGCTGCTGGATGAGGGGGGCCTTGGAGATCAGCAGGACGGGAGGGGAGGAAATTGCAGATCCTCAGGATTCCCAGTGAAAGAAGAACCGGGACCAATGCAGCCCGCGGCAAAAAAACAATCAACTTGACCAATTTGGGCGGAATTGAGGCGGATGAAATATTACAATGTGGCCAGGTCATTTCATGTAAATGTGCAACCGCTACAGGACATCTTCAAGTCCCAACAGTATCCTGTCAGTAACTCCTGCAGATTCAAGCCCTCCACATGGGTTCCAGAGGGGTGGTAGTCAAGTTGGCTTCACTTCTGACAATTTCAAGGGGGTTTGCAATGATACCAGGAAGGCTCCCCAACCTGTTGTCTATTTGAAGTCTTCCCCCACAATGGAACCTCCCAGGCTGTGCAGTGCGAAAGTCAAAGATGGTGGATTCCAGCATGACGAAAACCATGCCAATTGCAGATCTAAGGGGAAAATTACCTTGTGGACCATTTTGTTGGAGCGTTTCACTATGAAGTTTTGGGAGGTCTCCACCTGGCATAGATTCCAGAATTCCAACTGGCACGACTGTTGGCCGGGCCACAAGCCTAGCAGATCGCCGAGCTTGGAGGTGCATTTGGCTCGGAGGAAGACATATCAAGGAGCATCTTTCAGCAGCAGCATAGCAACGCATAGCAACCCACTGCTTGGAGCTGGCTTTAAGGTGGAATTGTTTTAAGGTAGCCAATTCAAGGTAGCAACGCATTCAAGGTACCAATCGTAGCTCGCTGGTAGCTTGGTATAGCAAGGTATGACTACATATTAACTATATGGTGCCACGCCCCATATGATTGCATGGAGATCTCTAAGCTCCATAGGAAAACTGCAGATTGCACATTTGCTTCCGTAGCTCATTCAGTATTTGTTTCTCGTTGCCTTTGTCCAAGCCATGAGGGCAACTTCCACTGTGGACGACTTGCGACGCTACTTCGAAAGCTTCTACCGAGAGGGTGGGGAGTTCCAAAGTGAAGAGTACCAGGACAGCAAGGATTTCGACCACTCCTGGAAGCATCTTCGAACTGGCATCATTGTTTGGAAAGATGCAATTGATTTGTCATCAGGCCCAGGTGCCAAGGTGTTTTTTCACTACACAGAGGAGCTACCTTTCAGAAACATCACGGCCCTTGAGAAAGAAGCTGCGGAGGTATGGGCTTCACTGAGAACAGAGGGAAAAAGTGCAAACGCCTGGTGGGGGCGTGGGGTGTACACCGTCCCTAAACCTCCAGACCAATGGGCAGACCGAATGGAACTCTTAGATAACAATTTTAGAAATATGATTAAGAGAGATCTGGAACTTCATGGTGAAGACTATGTGAGGAAAGTGTATCCACCACGTGCATCGTTCTGCATTCCTTTGCTCATCGACCCAGAGAATGCCTACGACATTTCAGTGAGGCCAACACCTGAGATGGAGGCAGCGGGAAAGCCACCCGGCACAAATCTGGGTGACAAGCTGTTGAATGAGCCTGGGCAGCCAGAGCGCTGCTGTGTGGTTCTCCGGGTGGCTGGCGAGGACGGCGTTGCCAATGCTCGATCTCGCCTGTTAGGAGCTCTCCGCGCACGCGAAGCGGCTGCTCAGAGTCCAGGCCTCAAGATTGCTGCCAAAGCACGTTTGGCAACAGCTTTGCACATGCGAGGCTACTTCCCGGAGAGCAAGATTTTCCTGAGCGACCTTCTGGAGGATTGTGAGCGCACTCTCGGTGCGGAGCATCCTCACACATTGGTCTCAGTCAATGACCTGGCAGCTTGCCTCAGAGCCATGGGCCTGCCGAAAGATGCAGAGCCGCTCTACAGGAGAGCTTTAGAAGCCCGTGAACGCACTCTCGGTGCGGAGCATCCTCACACATTGGTCTCAGTCAACAATTTGGCAGAATGCCTCAGAGCCATGGGTCTGCCGAAAGATGCAGAGCAGCTCTACAGGAGAGCTTTGGAAGCCAAGGAGCGCACTCTCGGTGCAGAGTATCCTGGAACATTGGTCTCAGTCAACAGTTTGGCAGGTTGCCTCCAAGACATGGGCCTGCTGAAAGATGCAGAGCCGCTCTACAGGAGAGCTTTGGAAGCCCAGGAGCGTACCCTCGGTGCCGAACATCCTCACACATTGGTCTCAATCAACAATTTGGCAGGTTGCCTCCAAGCCATGGGCCTGCCGAAAAATGCAGAGCCGCTCTACAGGAGAGCTTTGGAAGCCCAGGAGCGCACTCTCGGTGCGGAGCATCCTCACACATTGGTCTCAGTCAACAATTTGGCAGAATGCCTCAGAGCCATGGGCCTGCCGAAAGATGCAGAGCCGCTCTACAGGAGAGCTTTAGAAGCCCGTGAACGCACTCTCTCTGTGGAGCATCCTGACACATTGGTCTCAATCAACAATTTGGCAGAATGCCTCAGAGCCATGGGCCTGCCGAAAGATGCAGAGCCGTTCTACAGGAGAGCTTTAGAAGCCCGTGAACGCACTCTCGGTGCGGAGCATCCTCACACATTGGTCTCAGTCAACAATTTGGCAGAATGCCTCAGAGCCATGGGCCTGCCGAAAGATGCAGAGCCGCTCTACAGGAGAGCTTTAGAAGCCCGTGAACGCACTCTCGGTGCGGAGCATCCTCACACATTGGTCTCAGTCAACAATTTGGCAGAATGCCTCAGAGCCATGGGCCTGCCGAAAGATGCAGAGCAGCTCTACAGGAGAGCTTTGGAAGCCAAGGAGCGCACTCTCGGTGCAGAGTATCCTGGAACATTGGTCTCAGTCAACAGTTTGGCAGGTTGCCTCCAAGACATGGGCCTGCTGAAAGATGCAGAGCCGCTCTACAGGAGAGCTTTGGAAGCCCAGGAGCGCACCCTCGGTGCCGAACATCCTCACACATTGGTCTCAATCAACAATTTGGCAGGTTGCCTCCAAGCCATGGGCCTGCCGAAAAATGCAGAGCCGCTCTACAGGAGAGCTTTGGAAGCCCAGGCTCACACATTGGTCTCAGTCAACAATTTGGCAGAATGCCTCAGAGCCATGGGCCTGCCGAAAGATGCAGAGCCGCTCTACAGGAGAGCTTTAGAAGCCCGTGAACGCACTCTCTCTGTGGAGCATCCTGACACATTGGTCTCAATCAACAATTTGGCAGAATGCCTCAGAGCCATGGGCCTGCCGAAAGATGCAGAGCCGTTCTACAGGAGAGCTTTAGAAGCCCGTGAACGCACTCTCGGTGCGGAGCATCCTCACACATTGGTCTCAGTCAACAATTTGGCAGAATGCCTCAGAGCCATGGGCCTGCCGAAAGATGCAGAGCCGCTCTACAGGAGAGCTTTGGAAGCCCAGGAGCGCACTCTCGGTGCGGAGCATCCTCACACATTGGTCTCAGTCAATGGCCTGGCAGCTTGCCGCAGAGCCATGGGCCTGCCGAAAGATGCAGAGCCGCTCTACAGGAGAGCTTTGGAAGCCCAGGAGCGCACTCTCGGTGCGGAGCATCCTCACACATTGGTCTCAGTCAATGGCCTGGCAGAATGCCTCAGAGCCATGGGCCTGCCGAAAGATGCAGAGCCGCTCTACAGGAGAGCTTTGGAAGCCCGTGAGCGCACTCTCGGTGCGGAGCATCCTGGACACATTGGTCTCAGTCAACAGTTTGGCAGGTTGCCTCCAAGCCATGGGCCTGCTGAAAGATGCAGAGCCGCTCTACAGGAGAGCTTTGGAAGCCCGTGAGCGCACTCTCGGTGCGGAGCATCCTCACACATTGGTCTCAGTCAACAATCTGGCAGTTGCCTCAGAGCCATGGGCCTGCCGAAAGATGCAGAGCCGCTCTACAGGAGAGCTTTGGAAGCCCAGTGAGCGCACTCTCGGTGCGGAGCATCCTGACACATTGGTCTCAGTCAACAATTTGGCAGAATGCCTCAAAGCCATGGGCCTGCCGAAAGATGCAGAGCCGCTCTACAGGAGAGCTTTGGAAGCCCAGGAGCGCACTCTCGGTGCGGAGCATCCTCACACATTGGTCTCAGTCAACAATTTGGCAGAATGCCTCAGAGCCATGGGCCTGCCGAAAGATGCAGAGCCGCTCTACAGGAGAGCTTTCGAGGCCAGTGAGCGCACCCTCGGCGCCGAGCATCCTCGCACGTTGGTTTTTGCCAAAAACTTGGCATGTTGCTCAAGGGCCAGCAGTATCATTTTGTAGCTGCCTCAACATGTTCAGGAGTAAGGTTTCACCGCAAAAAGAGGCACTGAGTGTCCTGACCTGATCATTTGAATCTGAATTCCCTTAACATGTCGTGTGTCCTATAGTGAGGGTCATAACGACCACAAGTGTCCATAAGCACAACCGATGCCTCAATGCCGTTACCCTCTGGTAAACAGCCACATAGCTATGGAAAATCACCATGCTATTAATGGATAAATGTTAACTATAAATGTTGATTTTCCATAGTTATGTGGCTGTTTACCAGAGGGTGCCAGAAAAATCAGAAAACATGTCTGTGAGTATCATTTGAATGGGATATGTTGAGAGAATTTTGATGGACCACGTGGGTCATGGAAAATGATGAGCCAATGGGTTCAACCATTGTAGAGACAAGACAAATCAATTTAGGGATCCAAAACTATGATTTTCAATACTTCCGTGGGAGAATTACGAGCTATTTTATCCATGTCGCTCTCGCCAGATGCAGCCAGATGCAGATGGCAATACGCCGGCAATTATGGTCCTGTCTCCCAGAGAAGTGGACCTTGGACGGGACCCAGTTGACGATTTGCCATGATTTGCCCCTGGGTGATCGAACCTAACAATGGGAATCCATGGAAATTCTCTGATTTCGTTCTAATTACTAGATTACTGAATTGCCAAATGGTGATATTATATTATCATTTACCAAATTAATATCCATTCATCATTGTAATCAAAAGGAACACATCACCATGGTTATTACTGATATGAATGGATAATAATTAACCATACAATAACCATTAATTTACCAAATTGCATGCATTTTTACCAGAGCTTTACGAAAAACCAAGGCTCGCTGTGGAGGTCATCTTGAGCTGTCCCGTTGGCTGCAGCAGCAGACGTCGAACGGAGAGGAAAAAGTGCTGCTCAGAATCTGAGGGAGGTGATTTTTGATGAAACGATCTAAGTATCTAAGAATTTATAGATATATTTGTAGTCCTTCCTTCAGACTTGCAGAGTTTTGTCAAGTTCCGCACAAGTTTCTTAAGTTCAGCATGTTTCCATATTTTTCCAATGACCTTCTGCCAACACACCGCATGACTTCCCCGAGTTCGGATGCATCGCTGGTGCTGCGGCCTCGTTTCGGTGGTGACTGGACTTTGGCGGGGTCAGCACTTCGAGTCTTACATGATCCAAATGCACCTCATTTGTCGCCCTATTTGGTGCCTTGGCGAAGATAGCGCTAGCGGTTTAGCATGGTTTAGCCGCTTAGCTCAGTCGAAATTCGGGTCGACTTTAAGAACTGCAGCCCTGTGAAGTGAACCCATGAGAGATTGCTGAAGAAGGATAGAACGGTTTCCAAAACTGGTTGTTGCATGTTGTTGCCCAGAACCACCATCAGACTTCATCAAAAGGAGCTGTTTTGATAGGTATGATTAATGATTCGGTATGATGGTATCAAAATTAGCAACCATTATAAACTTTATTATAACCCCCAAAAAAAAACAAAATGGATGATTTCCGATCCCAAAAGCCTCCCGAAAATCGGAAGGTCCATTGATACAGCGACTTGCTCAGCGCAGGTGAATGAGTCCGTCGATTGCCTCGAACGCAGTAGCACCGGGCTGAGTTCTCCACCGAACTCAGTTGCAACAGAACTGCGGAGTTTTTTTTCAAACATCTGAAGATTTTCGTGGAAAAGTACCAATGTTGATAGCGAACATCGTCATCAACCATTGGATTTGGTGATTTTCTGGGGTGGTATAATCATGTATAACCTATATTTTGTGGACAACCTGAGATTCTTGCGGATGATCTGTCTTGATGATCTGCAACTACGTACACTTCTGGTGCCGAAACTGCAAATCCGCCAGGTGCGTTTCCAGAATGCAGCGCAGTTGGTCGTGAACTGGCAGAAGGGTCTGGATCCCCAGTTACATCATCCATCATCCATCATCCAGTTTTATAAAATCACATAACAAACAATCCCATCCACCATCCATCCATCCATCCACCATCCATCCATCCACCTTAAGGCAAGTGACTCGCCTCTGCCTGGACTTTACCGCGGAGGTCGACGAGGGCGTCTTCGCCCAGCTGGGTTTGGTGCGGCTCCACCCGGACGACTCCGAGACCTCCACCGTCTCGCTGCTGCCGACCCCGGCGGCCACCGAGGCGCCGGCGCCAGGGGAGCAGCGGCGCTGCGGGCGGCTCACGGCCGCCCGGCACGGAAGCGGGGCTGGGTGGTTGATTGGGGGTTGGGGGTGGTTAGGGGTTGGGGTTAGGGTTGGGAAGTGGGGGTTGAAGGTGGGGAAGAATTGATGATGGTGATGTTTTTTTGATCATGTTTTTGTTGATGAGGTTTAATATGATGTTGCTGGCATGACCTCTTGCTGAGGTCTTTACGCCCGTGGTGTCCTCGGTGTTCTTCACTGCAGCTGGCGACATCTTTGGCAGTTCCAAAATCGAGGTTCCAACTTAACTTTCACCGAGAAAAATGGGCAAAAATGGAGGAGTCGCACCTTCACCTCAAATCATGGCAATATATGATGGCCATTTTGGTGAAACATGTGTTGCAAACCATCCCCAAAAAGTGCACTTTTGCAGGATGTTTTTTTTTCAGATGGCCAAGAATTGGTGTTGACATGTAACTTAGATTCTTCATGGGATCAAAAACTTAGAGAACCTGGTGAACATTTGAAATCATTTGAAATCATTTGAAATCATTTGAAATTCCATGGTGGGAACCGGGTTCATCATCTCCATCATCTCCATGAATCATTGGTTACTACAGCAATCTACAGCTACTGTTTAATCCCAACGAACCAGGTGGTAGAACCAGGCGTGAATGGCCGCTGCGTCTGCCACCGAGCTGGTCTGGGACTTGGTGGAATTTTGTGGAATTTTTCCAAGATCTGATGATTTTCACTGGAAATCCGCATTGGAAAATCTACATTTGAATCATATATGATTAGAGATCTGAGTTCTGATGAAAGTTCTGATGTACCGGTAAACAGTCCCAAAAAACTATATGGAAAACCACCACCATTTTTTTCACGGGACAATTCACTGTGGCAATTTTCAACAGCAAACTGTTAGTTTACCAGAGGGTAATAGTAATCCACCACAATAATCCATAGTCCATAAAATAATCCACAACTGGTTGGTGATTAATGGTGATTAATGGTGATTAATGGTGATTAATGGGGGTTTATCAAATGTGTGGAAAAATCCGAGCCGACACCCGAGATGACTGGTGGAGCGGCGCCCCCAGCTGGTTCCTGGGCGGCGACCGGCGTCGGCTTCGGCTCTTCATGGAGGCGAAGGGTTCAACAAATACCTGGCGTTTCGGCATTTCAAACCATGGATCAATGGGAGATCTTCAATATCCTAAAATGGAGGTACTGTACCATTTTTCAGGCCATATGTTGTGGGGATATCCCCGTTGTGGCCTAAAAAATAGGCCTAAAAAATAATGGTAGGCACCTCCAATCAATCGGTTCCTGAAATGGCCATTGAATGGACCCAAAGGAATCATAGGAATGGATGGCTTTTCCCATGGCTTTTCTCAGTCCAAGGGGTTTTTCCAATGGAAAAACCATCTGATTTTTGCTGCCAGGTGGACCTTGGCAAGAGACCCAGCGTCTCCTTTCGCTTGGAGACGTTCCACCAGGACGGGCGAAGTCCAGAATTCGGACGGGTTTCGGATGGATTTCCCTTTGGTTTGATCTGATTTGGATAGTATAATTAGGGAAAACACTGGAAATTAATGATCACTGGATCATTCAGATTTGTTCTTAGAAAATCCGAATCACTGGAATTGTGATTAATTGGAGAACATTCAGAAAAACCAGACAGGGTTTTTCGAACACTGCTCAACTGAAATCTCTTTAAATATATCCACTTTAAGTCAATCATTTCCCATCTATCGCAGTTTCATGCAGTTTCCACATCCGAGTTGGCAGAGTGTGATGTCTGAAAATCTAAAATCCACAACTTCATCATGTTTCCTATGGGGCCATACATGTTCAGACACACCCTCATCCGTACTCCGTAAGCCATGCGTATTTACACGATCCACTTATTCATCTTGGTCCAATACGTTTATGTCAAAAATGAATTATATGATTCTATGATGATTAATTATTTGATGATATGATGATATATATAAAAATGATATCATGATGGTTATATGATGATACAATGATATATATATTATATATATATATGATGATATATATGATGATATACAAATATATCATGCATATCATATATATCATATGATCATGAATCTTGGAAAAAGATGACATCTTTTCCACAGATTTTTCCCAAAATTCCGGCCAAAATCCAGGCTCCAATCGTAGTGACCTTGCCGCAGCTGGACGATACGCCCAGTACGCCATGGTTGCCATGTGTCTCCATCACTCAGGGCCAAACTGTCAGGAGATCAGTGGAGTGTTCCATGGATTTTCGGGCGATTTTATGGCGTAACATCGGTAAGTTATATGATGATGTTTATGATGGGATTTTATGGTGTTTATTGGATAACATGATAACACATGATGATTGATTTATGTAGATTTGATTTCTGGTGATTTTAATGGCTAACATGATGATACACGGACAGCTTGCTACTGAAAATGGCCATAGAAATAGTTGAATTACCCATTAAAAATGGTGATGTTCCATAGTTATGTCAGTTTACCAGAGGGTAATATAATGATATTCATGGTAATTATGATGAGAAAAGATGATGGGAAAAGATGATTATTGATGTATTTATCTGATTTCTTCTGATATTTATTGTCATGTTGATGGATTTTGAAAGTGATGATCTACTTTTTGCGGTATTTCCAGATGGATTTATTTGGGGAAATAGATGGAAATAGATCCGAGTTGTATTCAAATGGCTTGGTTGATGTTCTGCTTTGGAAATTCTAAACATTACCATTGGATGATTGTTGGCCATGATGTCACCAGGGTGAAGTTTCCTTCACCAAGCCTAGAATTTGGGCAAGACAAATCCTGAAGAAAATCCTGGATATTTTTTGTGAAATTCATGGGAACTTCATGGTTTTCATAGGTGTTTGATTGATTTCAAGGCCAAATGACAAGCGTTTTTGCGCAGGATAGTGGAGCTCCAGCTGGTGAGTGATGGGACTGTGGACCAAGCTTGATCTGACGTGATGACAACTTGATATATGGAGCTGTCTGTTTTGTCATGGGGGTACCCCCAAATCATCCAAGTCATGGATAAGGAAACTTATGGTGACTTGGGGATCCCCCATGTTAAGCATGTTAAGAATATCGATCATTTAAATTAATTTAAAGTTTATGCAATTGACTTCTGAGCGTAGATAATCACAAGAAATATGAAACATATTCCTGATGATCAACAAAAGCTTCAGAGTTTCAAGCTGAAAAATGGCAATGTCACCAGATTTAATGAGATTTCATGAGCTGCTGGGTGGTTTACACCTCAGCAGCGTTTCATCATCTGCCACCGCCGAAACGGCGGAATGGCCGGGGTGATCAAGTTGATGTTGACGGCGTCAAAAAGTGCATCCAAAAGTGTCACCATGCTGCACTGTTTTCACCAGATTTGGCTTTGCGGATGCTGTTTGATGCTTTTTGTGTTTGTTGATTCATATTGGCACAGAAACAGAAACTTTAGCCCAAACAGCGAACAAAAAAACGCGAAATCGGAAGAGTTGAATTGGAGAATTTGGACATCTGCTGCCGAATGGGCTCAGCCATTAGGGGAGCTGCTGGCAATTTTTTTTGGATTGCCGCTGGCGCTGTCACCGGCGCAGCTCCCAATGTCGAGGCTGCTGCGGATCCTACTGGTTGCAGTGACCTGGTCGATGGGTCGATGGGAATACACCAAAGATACTCATCACACTCCATTGAAGACTTATGAAAAAGATTAAACATGATAATCAGGATGAAACAGATAGCAGTAAACACATGTAAACAATATATATATATTATGTATATCAATATTTATTCAACCAATGATTTGCATGTCATGGTCATCACTGACTGCAGTCATTTTTTGGGGCACCTTCCCCTGATTCGATGTCTGAGGTGGCCTATCAAGGCCACGCTTTTGTCGCAGTCCAGGAGGACGGGGGATCAATGGGAACCCAAATCGGCCCAAAAACTTTTTTTCGGGCATAGGAATCTGTTGAAAAATGAAAAATGTTGAAGTAAAATATTGAGGAAAGTAATGTTGATATATCTAATATATCTGAAAAAATGTTGAAGTGATGTTGTTGAACTCAGAATTGGTTGATCCATTGGTGGAAGTAGTTGAACTATGTTGAACTATGTTGAACTTGCCAAGACTTTGCCGCTTGGTTTTCCAATTGAAGGCCGAGTTCCAAGGTCAGCAGCAGTCTCAACCAATTGCTTTGCGCTTTGCTTGCGATCTTTAGCATCCAGATATATCGAGACATATTCAGACCGCCTAAACAAAGTGCTCTTTCTGACTGCTTGATGTTTGGATTTTTTTTTGGTACTTGACCTATCATTTCACCATCCTTTACAATAAAACATATGTTCTATGTAAACGCTTGGATGGTACAGCTGTACCCACCAGGAGAGCACTGTGCCCGTGTTGCGGCGGCCGGAGTTGGGCAGAACGCCAGGCACGAGAAATTCATGGAGAATCTTCGGGTCATCATCCTATCAGATTCAAATCTCAGACAGTTCTGTACTGTATCTTATTGGAAATGATCACTATCACATGTTATCATTGCACTTCTTTCTGTAAAATATCGAAGTTATCACATGTTATACTAAGGTTATAGTTATTTCGCATGCCTAAAATATCCTACATCTGTGTAACTTATGTATATAGTTATATAAGTTATCCTCTGGTTATTTATCATAGCTATTGAAAATGACCCATAGAAATATATGGTTTACCTATTAAAAATGGGTGGATTTTCCATGGTGAACTGTTAGTCATAACCAGATGGTATATCCCTTTGATTCCTCCAATCTCTTCATCGCTCAGGCCGCACGTCCGGAACCGGAAGTCCATCACAGGCCGAGCCGAAGTTCGCCGTCACCGGCGCTTCCAACGGCCTCTGTAGCGTCGCTGGCGTCGCTGGCGTGGCGCTGGGCCTTTTTTTCGCCCTGACCACGCGACTTCCGGCGCTGGCAGCCGACATTGAGTGACTCAGATTGAGTTGAACATGGATATAACATGGATGAACATCACCTTGTACGAACTGTGATGACTGTACGAAATGACCGTGATGACATGTGATGACATATGATGACTGTGATGTAAAGGTACTTGAAAAACTGAGGGAGAATTGTTGAAGACTTTATAGATTTTCTTGGGCTGAAGTTGAACATGAGGCAGCACCGTTTCGTGGGGTTTCGCTGAGGAACGGCCAGGGCATCTTCTTAGCAAACTGCCGAATCCTCAGTTGTCACTGGACCATCACAACTTTGGGCATCAAAAAGTCAGTTGAACCTCCACTTTGGGTTCTTAAATGTTCTTAAATGATCTTAAATATATGAATGGAGAGAAAGAATCGATATGAATAGATATGAATAGAATATGAATAGATATTTCTAGTGGACGAATCATGATTTGCGTATTAATTTGATGTTACTGGACGAATCAGTTACACCTGGTTACACAGGTTTTTGAGGTCCTTGGTTTACCACGTTGGTTTCCACCATCACGGAGAAACGCTGTGAATAACCACGCCAGGTGCAGCCTGCCATGCTGGCGGAAATAATGCCGTGCAGCCCGACAAAAAGCTGAAGAAGGACGCCTTAGAGACGTACGGAATGTATGACGTCGAGAGGATCAAGTATCAGGCCCCGGTGCGGCACTGGCTTGGCACCTCCATGAAAATGAAAGAAACAATCTCTAGGAAAAATATATAAAAATATATGCAGTTGATGCCAAAGCTATGCTGTTGAAGTGCTGTTGTGTTTGCATTTTTTTTCCATAAATCTTTCCAACTGGGTATTTTCCCAGCATCTTTCAGCATCTTTCAGCATGGCAGGTCACCAACGGCAAGAACGCGATGCCCGCCTTCGGTGAACGCTTGGGTCCTGATGACATTGAGGCACCTTTTTGGGCACCTTTTTGGGCACCGCGGGCCTTCCATAGGTTTACACTGGCTAGTGAATGGGAGTTCCCAGTTCATGGCTTGTGAGAATCCATGGTAATTGCCAAAATCCCCAGTATTTTACTGTAATAACTAATAACCAATGTAAAACCAATGTATAACCAATGTATAACCAATGTATAACCAATGTATTTCACCTCTCTAACCGGTCTATAACCGAGCGAAAAAACATGCCTATAAGCTCCTTTTTTCAGCAACATCCTCTGCAGGACGTGGCAAATTATGTCATTGACCAGGCCAACAAGGGTTGGTAAAAGCCTCAGACGATGATCCAAGGTAGGAAAAAAATGGATGAATACATTTTACTACATTTTACTACATGATTTCTTAAAGTATACCTTTTTTTCCATTATAATACACATTTTTTTACACCAAAATCATCGATGGATCATCCATGAGGCCTTGAGAAGCGATGGACCGCGTGACTGCGGAACCAAAGGCCACCATTTGAACCGGCTTCGAGAAAGGCGGAATTCACGCCGAAACCAAGCTGTCAAACTGAAGGCGAAAAAATGGGTTGTTTAAAAACATCCATCAAAATATCAGGATTTCTTCAAAACTGGAGATTGATGATAGACTTTTGCAAAGATATGGAATACATATGGAATACCATGAAGTCAAGGATTTTTCTCATGTTTTGACAGATAATTACAGCTGTTTGACAGATCTCCGTTGATCTCCGGGTCTCCGGGCTGATCTGCCGCCGATGGGACGCGTCCCTTAAAATTTTCGGGCGCATGGAAAAGTCACCGATTCCCCTCGTGCGAAAAGTCATCAGAGCTTGAGAAAAGATGAGAAAAACCATGAGAAAAGAGAAGTTGAATGAAGTTGAAGCCATTTGAATCATATTCGAATCATTTGAAAGATGCCAACAAGTCGGTTTAAAAGTCGGTTTCCATTTGTGATCTGGATGAGACCTATGGACCTGTTTTTTCCTTTCCAGATCTTCCATCTATGACATATATGACATATCTATCACAGACATCAGGTTCAAGCTGTGGGAATGTCGAGGTTGGAGCAATTTTTTATCCAAATTTCTACAGATGGTTCAACAGAGTTCAACTGATCAGCACCAAAAAACAAGTCAGCGACCATTTCCAGCGACCCGCCATGAGTACCGCGGTGGCTTTGGCGCAGGGCGCGGGCGCAGCGGGCGCGGCCCGAGAGGTTTGGGTCCAATCTCCGACCACCCATCAGTTGCATAGGAACATCCCATCCATCCCATCCAATCACCATAGTGCCATAGTAATCCAGAATAATCTATACAGTAATCCAGAAATCCACCATTAATTTATCCACCATAATCCACAATCCATAATAGTGGATTAATTCATAGTGGATTAATAACATATATCTATGGATATCAATATAACATAATATCCATAATATCCATTAGTTAATCCATGTTTATATCCATAATCATAATCCACCATAACAGTAATGGATATTACTATAGTTAATCCATAATATCCATTATAGTTACTACATATTATAACATAATATCCACAATCATAATCCACCATAATCCATAATCCATAGTCCATCCATAACAGATCCCCAGCAGCGAAGCCAACCACCGAGGCCACGACCGAAGAAGTCCTCCGCGACGCCGAGGACGCCTTCCCGGTGATCTTCTCGGTGCATCCGCCCCGGGATGTGCTGGTGCCCTGGCAGTCAATCCCCAAGGATTAGGGGATAAAATCCATAGGGGATATGATTCATGGGATACCATATGGTTGATTTTTTGTGATATATTTTGATTAATATACCCAAATGATATATATATATAATTATATATATATATATATTAATCATGTATATGTGTTTTTTTTTCATATTTGGATATGTGTTGTTTTGTGATATTTTGAGTTTCTAGAGTCTATTTGGGGTTGAATTTAAGTTTTCCTTGGTATCAACATGGTCCGTCGAAAAATCAACATGTTTTGGTCAGAAGCTCGAGCCACTGCTGACACCGCAGCTGAGGGCGGTCTATGGAGCGGCATCAAATGCGTGTTGAGCGGCGTGTTGTTTGGACTCGTAGGTGTCATCGCCCAGCCCGTTGAGGCACGGCAGATGTCATCAAACTTGGCAGAGGATTCGTGCGGTTTCTCTGCAAGATCAATTGAAATGATAATCTTCAGTGATATTTATCCCTTATTAAATATCCCAATATTTATCCCAATATTCCGAAAGAAATGGATATTAAACCGTGTCTATCCATTCCTATCCACTTCTGAACTGGAAGCCGTGTGCAGGGCGCGCGCGAGGGTGGTGTGGTGGGATGCTTCAAAGGAGCTGGTACAGGTTCAATCCGGGGGCAGGAGACGCAATAGCGATATGGCCCCAGAATGGTTGAAAATATCCATGGTTTCAATGACCTTTCCACGCAATTCAATGATATTTCAGTAGTGACACTTATTATTTGATGTAATTTGTACAATACTATTCAATACTCAAACAAGGCAATTAATATGCAGTGCAAAAGTCCAAACCTTAAAAAACATAGGCCGTACTTAGGCTCTCATTGTTGACCAATTTCGATTGACCGGACGTGGCACATGGCGCAGGGCTGTTGGTTGGGCTCTTCTTTTCCATCACCGGGCTCTGCACCGGAGTCTTCCAAGCTGTGTCAGAGATCTCGGACGTGATTTCCTGGTGGTGACTGGAACCATGGAATTTTATGACTTTCCATATGTTGGGAATGTCTTTTGAATCATCCCAACTGACTCAACTGACGAACTCCATCATTTTTCAGAGGGGTGGCTCAACCACCAACCAGATAATTAACAATCATTCACCATCATTAACCATCATTAATCACTATTAATCACTATTAATCACCATTATGTATACCATCAGTTAACCATCAGTTAGCCATTATTTTCACTATTAATCACTATTAATCACTATTAATCACTATTGATCACCATCAGTTCTGATTTTTTTCATTTCTTGAAGTCAGAAGAAATGAGAACTCAAAGAGCTCGCTGTCTTTCCGATTTTGCATCGCTTTGATCAGCCATCGCTGCCTAGGCGTGGTCTAGCAGCAACCCCCAAGGCTATTTGCATGGTCCAAAGCCTCAGCTTTCCAAAACGCTTGGTTTGAAGATGAACATCCAGCATTCGGATAGACACTATAATCTTAGTTGAATATGATAAGCCATAGGATCCATGTATGCTATATATATATATATATGGTAACATGGATCCCATCAATATACCCCAAATGTTAGCATATATACCAGCACCATGGATCCTATGGGTAATATGATGAAAAAGCCACTATTTCTGGTGGATCATGGTGATCCTCTATAGATCACTATCTCTGCGCGAAGTCAGTAGAACTGCCAGGCCGCTCAGGGCTGGAAGTGGAACTCGGAGAACGGCACTTGGACAGAGCCCAAGGTGAAGCTGATCGCCATTGATCGCCTCGTAGAGCCGAAGAAAAACAGCAGAGACAGCACCATTTTTTGTGTCCTTTTTTACCATCTGGTTATGACTAACTAACAGTTTGCCATGGAAGCCATCACCATTTTTAATATAGGTAAACCATCTATTTCTATGGGCCATGGCTTAACCATGGCGAACTGTTAGTCATAACCAGAGGGTACATCCAGATACTTCATTTGTTGAAACGTGAGTTGAAACTACTCTGAAAAAGTCATGTCGATGTGTTTGTTCGGCAAAACTGTGCACCCCAAAATGGTTCGATGCACCATTTTGAGTTCGAAATCAGCATCTCCAAATATCTCCAACTATATTTACCGGTAGCAAAAGCCCAGTTTCATTAATATCAACCTTAAGTTATCCCATGTTATCCCTAACTATTGACATAACTATTGACCAACTAAAATCAGGGGTGTCAGTGTCATTCATGTAAATTCCCCATGTCTCCCATCCCAACCCGCATCTCCCCATCTCCCATCTCCCTCCCCGTCGCTGGCGTCGCACAGCGTCGCAGGTGTATTCTCTGCCAGAGGAAGCAGCTGAATTCCTCGACGACGATGAGGAACAAGACTTTCAACCCAGATCAAAGGTGGTTTCGGTCTCAGTTGTGTCGTTAAACCCATCGTTAAACCGCTTTTGTAACTGGTTTCGTGTAACTGGACAGGTGAAAAAATATTTAAAAAAAACATATTTCAAGATGATTCCAGAATTTCTTGCAATCTCCACCAGAATGTGGTGCTGCTTGGATTGTTTGGAATACATGGAATACAATCCATCCCTGGGATTAAAATTTTCCATGTCGGGATGTTGAGATCCTGAGGTTGACACCTACTACTACGATCAGGTACAGGGAGTGTTTACTCAGATGCCCAGGGCACATCCGTCGGCGATGAAACATATCAACGGAAAAGTTATAAATGTCATAATATCATATATAATATGATATGTCAATATATGTCATATATATGTCATCATAAAATAACCATATTCTTCAATCTTTTATGTAAAACATGGCCAGTGTCACACAAACATCAACTTTTTTCTCAACTCATCAACTCAGCCATCGCTTGGCGCGGCAGTTGGGTGTGGAATGTGCGGCATCGGCGAAAGAGATCCGCCGCGCCTATTTCCAGAAGTCGAGGTCAGCGAAGTCAGCGGCAGCTGAACATGTGGAAGGTGGCTTCAGGAAGGACCAGTCAATGTTGGTACAATCTTGGTAAATTCGTCTGGAAATATAAAATCATGAAGCATCAAAGGCATCAAAGATCAGATAATTGAGTCAAAACCAGCTGTTTCATCAAAGACCCATTTGGCGGTATAGGATTTCTATTGATTTTGGTGGAATGTTTACCATCGAAAAATGAGGATTTGCCACTACGAAAGAGGATCAAGGTCGCACATATGGTGGACAGAGCACCTGTTGTTCAAACATGAAAGAATGCTTGGACATGTGTTCGGATATCAATTTATATTACAGCCATTAGTTTTATAAATTTTATTATATGTGATACCATGTGATACCATAAAAAACATATAAAAACTTATAAAAACCACATTTTCGATATAGCCAACATCGACAGCCATTTTTTTTGAGTCGGAAAGGCAGTGTCATCCTGACAAGACCAGCGACAACGATGCCAAGGCGCCGCGGCAGCTGCTGTGATTTTCTATCCATTGGCAGATTGGTGGCAGATCGGTTACTCCTCATCTCCATGAAAAATGATCAAATCAATGGCTAGAATGCTAGGGGGGATAGCCAATTTTTTTAGACCCAAATAGATACTGAACAGATCTGAAGGCATTTTTATGTTTTTTTTTTAGTCGGACTGTGACATGTTGTGACTTCGGTGCAGGAACGCTTTCAAGCCATCTCCGAAGCGTGCCAAACTCATACTTGCGATAGCACAAGTTACACAACTTTTCAGTTTGATGCATATTTGATGCATATTTGATGCATATTTGATGCATATTTGATGCATATTTGATGCATATTTGATGCATCATGATGCATAGATGTGCTCATTTTTGAAGTCTCAAAATTTCTGAAGTCCCAACATCATTTTCCCAGATGATTCTGACATTTTCCCGAGCCACAAGTATTGTGAAGACATCATCATGACATCCATGACTCTGACCACCAGCAGAGAGGATGTTCCATCATATATTTCTATATTATATATACATAGATCTATATTATCTATGTATATATAAATATATAGGATATACATAATATACGTATACAATAAATAAAAGACCAATGATATCATTATGATCAATATATGACTATAAAAAATGTCTGACTGGAGGTTATTATACAATATTATACCTATATAATATTACACATGATATACCAGCTGGTTATTTAACATAGCCATGGAAAATCACCATGCTATTAATAGGTAAACCATCTATTTCTATGGGCCATCATTTACCATGGCGAACTGTTAGTCATAACCAGAGGGTACATGGATTTACCATGATTTACCATGGATTTACCATGATTTGTCCATGAAAATGTCGATAACCCATAGGTCATCCTGGATTTCCAGTTGCTTCAACGTCGCTCCGAGGTATCAAGTCCTCTCCGACCCCAAGAGGCGTCAGGACTATGACAGCCGCGGCAGATGTCAGGAGGGATTCATCGACGCCAAGGTGCGATGCGCCGGCCGTGCGCCGGCCGTGCGCCGGCCGTGCGCCTGTCATGTCATGGATTTTCCTGGCAAAAACTCAGGGATTTCATGGTTTTTGATGCTTGGGATGTGGGAATTACCTGGAAATTACCATGAATTCATGGTGGGATATGGTGACATTAATGATGAATCTGGTGAATGACTCTTGTAATCCAATGGCCAATGGTGAATGGTTCATAATTCGGGCAGCTGTTGTTGAGATATGTTGAGATAATGCGATTCCATACATACAGCTTGGAAGTTCGCCTGTAAAATGAACAGTTGCGATGAATACTCAACAAGGGTGTTTGAAGCATGGTTGAATGGTGATGCAACCGTTGGGATGAAATGATGATCCCACAACAAAATCATTGGAGTTGTGGTTGCGACTTGAAAATGATGTTGGTTTGTATCCCCACATTCCCATAAAAAATGGTTGGTTCAACTATTCTTAACTATTATCAAGCATTATTAACCATTATCAGATGAAGACCATGAACATCTATTTAACTATTCTTAGAATTCTTCCCACTATCTGATAATGATGTTATAGATATGATATCAGATTAAGACCTCTATGATATCTCCATTCTGATAATGAATAATGGTCTATCTATTACTTCTTCCCACTATCTTTCCATTAAAACATTAAAGATATGATATCTGTTATTCTAACTATTCATAACTATTTAGCTATTTAACTATTCTTCCCATTAGACCTAAACTATTCTTCCAACTATCTTCCCACTATCTTCCATTAGACCTCTATGACTCTAGGATATCCCCTTTAAACATGCCACCAGTGACCGTCGTGTCGAGAGGTCTTCTTCAGCGTCTTGTTGGGCGCGGATGCCTTGGCTCCGTACATCGGAAGGCTCAGGACTGCTGAAGTCGTCAAGAATATGTCAAGAAAAGATCTCCCATATTGCTTTATATATAATATATAATAAGATATTATAATATATATATTAACATTATATACAATAAGATATTATAATATACTATATATATATTATAATATAATATATAATGATATATGTTAATATATATATATATATACATGATTGGAGGCAAATCAGATCAGCTGAGCGCTGTGTGTCCAGGATCACCGAGATGTTTGGCACCGACTTCTGCGACAGTGCTCCAGAGGAGGAACAGCAGTTGAACCAGGCACCATGCAGAGATGATGGGGATGGTAGTTGATGGGGTTGATAATAATGATCTATTATAATGATAAGAATCTAATAATGGATGGTATTATAGATATAATGAGGTCTAATGATGGTACAATGATATCATTATCCTATAATAGATCTAATAATGGTATAATGATTATATATATATAATGATCTATTATAATGCTAAGGATAATGATAATATTATTTGTTTGTTGATGAGGGTGATCAAACTAGGAATGATGATCTTGCAAGCCATGATCATACATGATCTTCATGTTCAATCAGCATGAAAAATACGTGGAATTTAAGTAGAAAAAATTGGGATGAGAAATTCTATAAGTATCTACTAAGTATCGATATAACTATTGAAATATAACTATCAAATTCTCCAGTTTGACCAGTTTGACAATGATAATCATATCATCATAGGAACCGACAGTGATATCATTCCTTTTTTCCACGCCAGACGCGGCGACAAGTGAAGCTAGCTGTTGGCCTCGCCCAGAGGTGGGGAATCTCCTCTATTTGTGGCGGGAAAATCACGGAAGTAGATGGTGGATGTTCTATCATGATTGAATCCGGCAGGGTAACCATTTGCGATACTGTGTTACATTGAATAAAAATCATGTGATTGACTAAGTTTGAAATTAACTGTTTTTTTTTGCAAAAACCTGTTTTGCAATGTTGGAGCCAACAAACATGCTATTTTTTTCATACGCATCATAAAAAGTAGACAACCGAACATAACTAATGGGATATCATTGTTGGTTTAACCAAAAATTGGGATATTTTGGTATTGGGATAATCCATAAAACAATGGGATTTCCCAATTTTAGAAAGCCGCGTATGGAGTTGATAGGTTTTTATCATTCATTCTTTTTTGTGATGAATTTCACTATATACACCACAAAATTGTCTCCAGATTCTCCAGATTATTCCCTTAAAAAAATGAGATTTTCATGATCCTAACCTTAAACAATTGAGATTTTCATGATCATGAAAAATAGCTATTCATGAAAATTACCACCCATATTATCACCTAAATCAAGAGGTACGACATTTTTTCATCCCCCAGGATGATCCGGATGGAATCATCCCCCCAATGACCTCAGGTTGGATAAGATCCGAGTGGACAACGATGGCAGATTCATCAAAGAGGCTGTTTTTTGGAGATTCTTGGAGTGTGTTTAGCAATAGTTACTATATGTTACTATAGTCGAAGTACAGTTCAATCATGGTGGAAAGGTAAGAATCATTGTAAAAATCATGGTCAAACTCCACTTGATGAAATAGGTTTGAAGCTGCAGTTGATTGTTCCGAGCAAAATTTCATGCGGCGATGCCATCGATGCATGAAGTTTCAAGCTCCACGTGAGGCCAAAAAAGAAGCACGAGGTCCGAACTTCAGAGTTTTCACCTGGTGACCTGCCACTAGTAATGTGGATATCTACCCTTCCACAGAACCATATGGAACCAGATGGAACCAAGAAATCCAGTCGTTTTTCAGGGTTTTCAGAAATCTTTGCTCATTTCCCTTCAAGTTACCCTCTGGTAAACATACAAAAAGCTATGGAAAATGGCCCAGTCGAAATAGTGGATTTACCCATTGAAAATGGTGGTTTTCCATCGTTTTTTGGGACTGTTTACCAGAGGGTATATTCCATTAAGTGGATTAAAATCCCATTAAACGCCATGAACTCCCATTCAACATGGCAATTTTCATGGGTAAATCATATAGTAAATCCACTATTTCAAAGTCAATCTTTGCTCCCGAGGTATCCTGGAAAGCGATCCCTCCCTGGGTCGTTTCATTGCAGAGATCGCATGGGTCTACACCAACCGAGCCGAATGGCAGCTCGGATGATGAAAAACAACACAACTGCGCCTGGTGGTGACTGGAACCATGGAATTTTATGACTTTCCATATATATATATATATATCATATATATTGGGAATAATATATCATCCCAACTGACTTTCACTCCATTTTTCAGAGGGGTTGAAACTCAACCACCAGAAAAAAAACAACGACTCTCGTGGGAATTTGTCGGAAACAGCTGAGGTATTTGGCCTCTTTGACCTCCGCACTTGGCTCATGGAGTGCAACTTGCTTGACATATGTTGACATTCTGAAAGATGCTCCATGTATGGAATATTCAACTACAAATAGACCCCAAAAATGACCCAAATGTAGGTACATATTCCATACATTGAGCATCTGGGATTCTGAAAGAAGTGGATTTCTTGGAGAACTTGTGGGCAAACAACATTTGTTGTGTCACCCTGACTCATTTGGGGAAGGCATGAATTCATCAACAGCAGTTTTCTATCCAGAAAATGGGGGATCAGAACAACAAAGACAATCATATATATACCTGGAAAACCATAAAGACAAAATTTTCTGTCCGTACGGGTTTGGACATTTTTTTTGTCCGTTACGTGTTTTTTCCAAATACGGCCATGTCCGGCTGCAAACCCTCTACTTACAGGTTAATTTAGTTAATAGTTTTCCTGAACTCTTGGATTTGTTGGACTGGTTCCGACAGTACGAGTGTCTCGTCTAGAGACAGTATTTGGGGCAGTATGTTGACATTTGCTTACTGTTTTTTTTCAACATAATGTTGAAAAAATACTGGTATTTTATGGGTACATCCAAATTTGGTGGGAAATATGGCAGTATTTGTGGCCAGATTTGGGTGCCCGATCACGACTCCCAATTTGCTCCACTTTGGACTGAAATTCCTCTTTTGGAAACTGTCGGAGGATGTCCGAACACGGTGTTGTCGAAGGATTTGAACAACCCTTCACAATCAAAAACCAAAATACGCAATTGAACCAAAAAAAACGTCCGTTACGGGTAAAACCCAT